TCTCGTTAACTTCTTCAGGGAGTTCTCCATTTTACTCCAGAAGAAGTTATTGAAACATATAGGGAGTGAAATTGGCTCTGTGTTGGTTTTTTTCGTTCTATTTAGATATATCTAACTGTATTCCTGAAAACCTTTTAAAAAACACCTTTTCATGTACATGTGGACATATATAAAGTGTTGCAGCACCTAGCCTGTTTGGAACCAGTCTGCAGCGCATCAAAGTTGGGTGATTGATCAATACCGCATGGGAGATTCAATGAGGATAAATCTTTAACAACACAAGCAGTGATGCTTATCAATGATTGAGGCCTGACTTAGTCCATGCAAAAATGATTTATTCCCGGAACAGGTTTTAACCAGTACATTGAATGAGTGAGGGATATTGGTTTATTCTGAGATTCTGTTGCAGCTCCATCACCAAACTTGTTTTTAAATAAACAAAATTGATTCAAATCAGATTGATGAATTGTGCCTTGATAATTGGCATGTATTGTAAAGAGACTCAAAAGGTGTTCTTGTGAAGAATGGACATGGAGATATTGATTATAATATTTGAAATTTCTCAATGAAAATGAACCAACGGTTGAGCCAAATTTGGATGGAATTTTAACTAAGATAGCATTTCTAAGATTCATAGAATAATACCACCTGTGTGTTACATTTCGGAGATGGTATGTTTATTATTAATAATTAGACTCCCTTCGTGTCTCGACAGACAGGCAACTTGTTTTCTTGGCCACAATCTCAGCATGGCGTCAGAGCTTTGTTGGGTTTTATCAGGGTATATATTACAAGCAGATGTGATATTTGTATGTGTGATTGCACATGTTAGCAGTTCTCAGATGGGTTGTTTTGTTATGATGTGTGTTATCTGGAGGTATTGCATCTTGAAGTATTGCATCAGGATTTAATTGCAACGAGAAGTATTGCATCAGGATTTAATTGCATCTCTAAGTATTGAGTCTGGATTAACTGCATTTAAATATTGCATCTGGATTTAATTGTATCTAGAGGTATTGCATGAGGAATTATTGCATCTAGAAGTTTTGAGCCTGGATTTGTTGCATCTAGAAGTATTGAGCCTGGATTAATTGCATCTAGAAGTATTGAGCCTGGATTTATTGCGTCTAGAAGTATTGCATCTAGTTGTGTTCCACTGAAATTATTGAGTTTGAAAAGTGTTCCATCTGGAAGCATTGCATCACAATTTAATGCAGCTGGAAATGATGCATCAGGTTTGAATGCACGTGGAAGTATAGCATAAGGGCCCGTTCCTCAAAGTGATCGTAGCTTTCGATTGTTGCAGGGCTATGATCACTTTGTGAAACGGGCCTGGACTTAAATCATCTGGAAGTAGAGCATCTAAGGTGTTGCATCACAACTGCATTTCTATCTATTGCAATTATCAGAGTCTGAACTGAGTAATGAAACTATTGCCATATTATATTGTTACATGGCCTCAGGTTAGACTCTCCACCACACTTCACGGTACCTACATTGACATAGAAATCTTGTAGCCATGTACATGAAAAACTTTCTCGTACTATGTACACAGCATCAACAAGCATTGATACAATTGTTTGAAAAGTGGGTGAATATGTAATCCTAAATGGATGCAAATGCCTAATTCGGAATGCAATTTGTAAACTAACAAATAGTCAAATTATTTCTTTTTCTTGTAAACATGCCATGGAATATGCTCTCTGCTTAGTTTGCTTCAAGAACTAGGGATCTGTCAGTATTCCTTACTTAAAGGATTATATTTACGTCTACATATAAAGTCATTTACATCAAATCAAAGTCTCTCAGTATTGGCATTCATTGTGCTCCCTAGTCAACTATGGCTGTGATGCATCTATGCAGCAGGACGGGGCAGCTAGATAATATATTTAAGCCTTAGCAGTTCATAAATTAATTTTGGGGTTAAGCTTTTTCTAAATATCGCAGAAGCATTTTTGACATTTTTGTTTTTTGTTTAATGCACCTTTCAGCTACTTTCCAGCTATGACATTGGTTTGTAAATAACTGAGTCCAGACTAGCCAGTGGTTGACGTCATGAGCACTGATATGCACAAATGGGATATGGATATGACATGAATGAACCAAGTAAGCGATATTGACCACCTGATTGATTAACTGCATGAAAACATACTACCTTTTAAAGTGTTATCACCTAATATTCAATGAAGGATTTCCCTGACAGGATAACCAGACAGCTAAGCTATGGAATGTTTACTGTTACTTTTTCGTAATGGACACTGGACATTGTTATCAGTGGGGCGCTGTTGTTGTTCATTGTTATTCAAGGTTGTTGAAGGAGTAATTGTTTGTTGATGCCATTAGGGTAATGGTTTCTCACATCTGAATGAATGTTTTCACGGGTTGACGACTGTTTCCGTTGGGATGGGTACGAGCTTAATTTATCAAAAATGTACTGCTTCGAAGACACCGGCAGTTGATATTACGATTTGTCTTAAATTAATGTTTGTTCTTTGATATCTTGACTGTTTCTATACACAAATGTTTGAACTGATTTGAAATAAGAAAAACAATTGGTTTGTTTGTTTGTGATTAAAATAATTGCAAACTCAGCATAAATTTCTTCATTGTGAATCTTGTTTATTGAGGCCAATATGGAAGTTTAACATGATAACAGAAAGAACGCCACTTCAATGACATAGTCCTGGAAATGGCTTGGGCTGTTTTGATCGAGCTGTAGAACAGGAGGCAGTTTGGAGGGAGAGGCAGAAAAAGTATCTTAGGTTATAGTGGGGTATTTTGACAGAAGAGACTGGGATCAGTTGCAAAATAGCAGGGGTGAGTTTGGAGGAAGGACGGGTGAGAAAATTAGTGTTTCAGTTTGTAGTGGGTTCAGTTGGAGGAAGGGCAGAGATCGGTTTGGAGGAGGTGGCAGAATTGGCGTCTTTGTCTCAGCTGGGGTCAGAGGAGTCGGGCGAATAGGATGTCTTTGATTTTGGGGTCAGTTAGAGGAGGTGGTGTCCTTGAATATTTGGACTCCTGCCCATCATCAGAATCGTGCATATTCACATCACATTCTTGTTGATACAACCACATCATCACATTCCCACTAGCAGGACTTCTGTAAGAAACTATTTACATTATATTGGACATGTATGAAACTACCAAGGTCAACAGGATATGTTTTTTGTGACCTTTAAGTAAAAACCTAATCTTACAGTAATATGGATGTCATAGAAACCAATCGAGGGCTGTGGTATGTATTGCAAACCCTCACTATACCAGACACCCAATTTAAGAAAAATATTATGTCTACATAAAATATTCAGTAATGCAAGAACTGAAACTATCGAACGGACATAGTATTGATGTTTCAGTTAGGCCATTTTCACTTTGCATTAATTTTTCTTCTTAATCAAGTACACAAGGGCAGCTAACTACACTTCCGTTGAATGGCAACAGTTGTGTCCCTTGACTTACATTCAACTTTTGCTAGGATAATCATTCTACAACATGAGAACTGCATCATGGAAAGAAATTATGCTTATCAAAAATTGAGTAGTATGTTCTTAAATGCGGCATTGTGTTGATTTTGCTCAAACTAGAAGTCTTTTGTCATTGTTTTATATCCTGCTTGTCCTGATTTCAGGGTTTCTGTATTATTGGGGGTCTGGAGTACTGAGGTTGTGTATGGCTTCCCTTGTTAGGTTGTGATGTCTTAGATTTTAAACACCTTCACTATTCCAGAGTTCATACCAGACACATGATAAATTTTGCAATAATCTGTAACTGTCATATTTTTATACTGATGGCAGAATAAAAATCTCAGAGAAGTCTTCTTCTTGTTTTAATTACTCAGCTGTGACCATTTACTGTCAATGTCTGGACCAGCCAAACCAATGATTCATATTTTTTGTTTTCAAGTGTCTCAACAACCTAGCTCCAAAGTATCTATCTGACCTAATCACTAGATATGAGCCCCACCGAAGTCTCCGATCTGAAAATCTTGCAATGTCCCACACTTTAGGTCCAGCACCAGGTTTGGGGATTGATCATTTCAGGTGGCAGGTCCCACTCTCTGGCATCAACTTCCACTGGAGTTAGGGACAATTAACAACCTGAAGATTTGTAAATCCAAACTGAAGACATACCTTTTTAAGAAAACATACAGTGTCTAACTTTTCATTCTTGAGTTGTTCAGAGAGCGCAACTGAGCAGTACTTTTGGACTGGAATTGGCTGTATAAATGTTTTCATGATGATATCATGAGCAGTCCAATGCAGTGTACAATGAATCAGCATAAGTGACCATTCAGCCTTCAGTGATGTAAGGGTTTCTTGACCGTTTCACAAAGCAATCTTAGCGCTAGGGTGGTCCCATACGTTAACCTTGGCTTAATATAGTCATGGGCTTTTGTTAATCTAAGCCAAGGAAGGAACCTGTTCCAAGTAATCTCAAAGCAAAGGTGATCAGAACTCCTGTATGCAAACACTGTCTTCAGATAGATCTGGGCTTCTCGTAGGCTTTCTGAAACTGGTTCCATGACTCAAGCAGCCTATTCCAAAGGTGAGGTGAGGTGAAATTGGGTTTAACGTCGTGCTTGAGAATATTTCGCTCATATGACGAGGTGCATGCATGTGTATGTGTATGTGCGGCTGCTTGTACTAGCCAAGACTAAAGCTGGTTTTGTGGTGCTGGCCCACTGAGATACCATGCCGCAGTGAAGCGTGAATACCCCACTCGGACACATTATACTGACTCCGAGCCGACCAGTCCTTGTTGTACCCATTAATGCCGAGAGCCAGGCAGGGACCAACAAGTACCATATTTTAACGTCTTTTGGTATGACGTCGGTCGGGATCGAACCCGCGACCTTCCGCTCTCCGGGTGGACGCTCTAACCACTACACCACGGAGGCGGTCCTATTCCAAAGGAGTGAGTTTTACTCCACTTCTAGCAATATTCCAGCAGGGGACACCAGAAATGAACAAACATTCTTTACAGAACAACAATACACAAACTCCATAAAAATGTCATTTATTCTTATCAGCACTTTTACAGGAAAATAACGAGCTTGGATGTACAGCTATGTACAGATACAGAATGTCCAGGTACTTTACAGCTAAATGCAATGTTGGTATCTGAGAACAAGTTAAACAATACTTCATCCATAATAAACGTCTATACAAACAAGTTTAATATCAATAAACATTCAAATATCTATTAAGTTCAGTAACAGTTTCTATACAAGTAAATGCAATTGGTATCTGGGAGAACATCCAAATATTCATGATCAGTTCTGTACAGGGAAAGGCAGCTTGGAGAACCATCACCACTTTCCGGTTATTTACACTTAAATGTGACGTCACATTGTAACTGGTCCAAATTCTGGTTGAACCTTGTAACAATCTCATGGCAGTTATGTGCACAGTCGAATGACCTTGTTGGTGACGATAAGGAAGTCTTCATCTTGGAGTTCTTTGAGAGCTTCATCAAACATGTCTCGTGTGATTGGCTGTAAGTGAATAATTAACATGGTCAAATAATGTGCTGGTGAGGAAAATTGCAGTAATCATTGAGATTTCAACTCTGATCAGTACTCTTCCCTGCATTCAACATATTCAGTAATGGCAGACTGTGTGCAATGAGATTAACCAGCTGAGAGGAAATATCAATTTTCTGAAGCTCTCCACCTGACAAGTTAATAGCAAAATTTCACAATTGAAAACTTAAACTGTAAATTGTATATTTATAATACTCATCTATCTCACGTGATTTCTAACCTAAAATGGTGTTTGACAGAAAATTATCCTTTCATTGCCTATGATTTATTTCAGACATTGATGAATCTGTTTTTCCTACATGAAAATGAAATCTGTAATTTCACCCTTGTGATGTTTACATATATTTATTTTACAGTACTATAAATAATCAAAATTGACTTAAAGGTTTGCTTACATTTAAATTTTGCCCCGAGAACCTGACATGTTTGGTCCTATGCAAAAGGTAGGGCTCTTATTTTCCACAGCCCTGACCCATATTTATTTGATACTTCTTTTGTACACATGCATGTACAGCTTGCATGATAGCCACAAACTGGTCTAGGTTATATTTTTAAATGTTTCTTTACATTGAAAAAAAGAAGCGACAATTCTATAATATGCTCTTACAAACCCATTGTAACATGTAAATGACCCTTTTTAACAGCAGTGCATACATGGTCAATACTGTAATTTTGTACAAAGCTAAAAGAATGCTTGAAACTCACAATGTCGGACTTGTCCCTGAAGTCTTCGTACAGCTTGCCATGTTTGAGACTAGGAACCTTCCCCTTGGACTGAATCAGTTTCTTCAGCACCTGTGCCACCTCTGCCTTGAGCTTCCGAGCAGCGCCGCTGATGCCAGTGGTGAGGATGGAGATGTCGATCTTGCCGGTCGACGGGTCGACAGCAGCCTGCTTCAAAGCTTCCTTATAGAGTCTGTGAAATAAACAGAGCACTTGTTACAGCCTGTAATGTCTGTATGGTGTATTTCTGGACTCTTGAAAGGATATCTGAATCAGTTGGCTACAAACTACGACAAAATAGTTTACAACAAACTCAGACCACCAATTATAATTTCTTTAACTATAGTTCATTATCCTGTTTTCAACCAAAATACACATAAAACACAAGACAGTTTGGTATATCCGTAAGTTTGTTATAAGTGTGATCATTTCATTCGTAATTTGCTGTATTTAAAAATCACCTGTCCATTTATTTATTGATGGCAGCCCTAAAGACGTTAAAAGATGGTATTTTTTGTCACATTGCCTGAAACCTGGCTTTAAGGTACAGGAGGATGCCTGGTCGGATCAGTGATTAAACATGTCAGAGTACGTTTCTATATCATAACTGTGGCAAATTATCTTTCTGAGCTAGCACTGTGAAACTGTCATTAGTCAAGCAAGCTGCCCCAGTCATGTCATGTTGCTCTACGCATGTTGAGTTAATCCCCAAGTCTCCTCAAATCAAACTGAAGTCCCATCATCTTCTTGCAGCAATATTGAAATAACTTGCGAAAATGTGATTTCAATTTTTGATAAGCAACTCCTAAGATGATCCTGAGACCATCTAATATCCCCACTTTACGATTCCTCACCTGCGAGCTTCTTCCACATCTGCCACCTCCACGGTCTCAGACAGCCTCATTCTGGCATGAGCCTCAGCCAATCGGATAAGAGACTCCAGCTGCCGGGGGTAGGCGGACACCTGTCCCCTGCTGCTGCCCACCTTCCTCATCTCCACGTAGGCCTGGATGAAGGCCTGGCCAGCATCCTCATCTATCCGGGGGTTGATGTAGCGCTTGGCATAACCGATGTAGTCCTTTAGTATGGACATGTCCTGGAGACAATCAAGTTCAGTGAGTCTGGTTTAATGCTGCTTTATGTGTTTGGTGTCAGCTTGATGTGAATGAAAAGTTCCAAAAGATGAAGGTCTTAAGATATTAACCTAAGAACCAAACCAAGATCATAATCAGGGTAATTCTATATTTGAAACCAGGGTCATAGTGTTCTGGCACATCAAAGGGACACAACTCTGCCCTAAAACTAATGTGCATATTAGACACCCATGTTGCTTTCTTTTATACATAAGGTGTTGGCACATAATAAAGACAAAGAATTGGGTTGATATAGTCTTTGAGCGAGTCAGCTTTTAACACTCCTTAAATTTCGACACGTTAAACAGTATTTCAGTGTCAGGTTGTGTGGGCTATAAGTAGCAGGAAAACTGCAGGTGAAGATGGCCAAGGACACCTTTGTTGAAACCCAAAAGCAGTAAAATCAGGACTTTGTCATTTGAGCCAGAATCATTGGTTTCTGGTACATCTAAGGGCTCTAGGCCTAGATTTTCAAGCTCTCTAAGCGCAAAGATAGTCCTAAGTGCCATACATTAACATTAAGTTACGACTATCTTAGAGCTAAGAGACCTTCGAAAATCTAGGCCCTGAATATCAATTTGTTGAATCTTTGACATGTATGTCCCCTTCCATAAGAGATGGGGTTGTGGCATGTAATCACCACAGGGGGCACAACAATCAGGCACCAAAATTCCAGCATAGTTTGGCAGAGAGGAAACTGGGCTTGTACAGTCAGTAAACTCCTGCAGGAAGCTGCTATGGAGACAGATTAAAGAATATATCGGGGATCTGTGCACCTCCCTCCCCATGTTTATCATACCAGGTGTTCATCTTGTGAATCTTCTGGGCTCTTGAAGTAGAGAGATACAAGATGATTGGCCAGTCGTCTGTCGTACAGCTCGTCCTGAGGGTCCAAGATCAAAAAGATCAGATCAAATCTGAAAAGAAAAAGACCCTGTTTGAGTGACATGTGACAAATGAGCGACATGTGACAAATGAGCGAGATGACGAAATGAGTGTACAGGGACCTATTCTGCCCTTGAAGCTCCACAGGTACATGAACAGTGAGTACTTCTGACCTACTCTGCCAGTTCCTCCCTGGTTTGTGATAGCTCACCTAGACCGCAGGGTTTGTGATAGCTCACATGTACAGCCATTGTTTGTGATAGCTCACATGTACAGCCATTGTTTGTGATAGCTCACCTGTACCGCAGAGTTTGTGATAGCTCACCTGGACTGCACCGTTTGTGATAGCTCACATGTACAGCCATTGTTTGTGATAGCTCACCTGTACTGAAAGCAATGCAGGTGATAGTTCATTGTTTGTGATAGCTCACCTGTACTGTACAGCATTGTTTGTGATAGCTCACATGTACAGCAGGTGATAGTGTCATCTGTACAGTTCATTGTACAGCAGGTTTTGTGATAGCTCACCTGTACTGTACAGCAACGCAGGTGATAGCTCACATATACAGCAGGTTTGTAATAGCTCACCTGGACAGCAGGGTGTGTGGCAGAAGGATGTTCTCAGTGATGGTGCGGTTCTTGTTCCACTGGGAGTCGACAGGATTGGCTGCGGCCAGGATGGATGTCCTTGCGTTCAGGGAGCAGATAATGCCGGCCTTGGCAATGGACAATGTCTGCTGCTCCTGTTCAGAGAAATTGACAATTCAATTACATGTCCTTATACAAAGTCTGGTGTAACTGCCGTTATGTCCATTGAAGATGATATACATGCCCATAAGAAGTCAAATATACTGAAAACATAACACTGGCTATAGTCATAACACTACCATTACACTACCGGTGTAGTAGTGGTTAATATTAAACATTAGCATTGCTTACAACACAACGCTGCCCATGTTGTCAACACAATATTAAGTAACGCACTGAACACAAGTAATGTTCCACAATGGACCACGTACCATAACTTCATGAAGAATGGAGCGAGTGCTGTCGTTCATCTTGTCGAACTCGTCGATACAACACACTCCATTGTCACTCAACACCAGGGCACCACTGGAAAATATAGTTTATCAGTTAATGACAATCACCACAAGTGTTGAAGGATTTATCTGCACCGTCATTAAAAGAGCAGGGGTTACCATAAACGGAGAAACTTAGAACAGTCCAACTATGATATTTTAAAAAGCACCAAGCTGGGGTCATCAAGTACTTATCTTTATGCCACTGCCCTAGAAAACAAGTGTTTGCCACTGATATGGCAATGCCCCCCGCCGCTAAAAGAATGGAATATCTGTATTTACTACTGTTTATTTTTTGGTCACATACAAGATGCCTGAAATGACTGGTGTCTGCATAATCACCCAATGTAGGCTGTCAACATACTTGAAAACATTGGGTGCAATGTTTTATGAAATATCGTGTTTAAATGTTTGAAAAGCGGTCAAAGTGTCGTGGTGACCTTGAAGGTAAGGTCAAGGTCACCCAAATAAACTGGTGTCCGTGTAATCCCCCAATGTAGGCTGTCACCAAATTTGAAGACATTGGGTTCAACAGTCCATGACATGTTGCGTTAACAAGAATTTGAAATGTGTTCAGTGTCATGGTGACCTTGAAGATAAGGTCAAGGTCACCCAAATACAGTGGTGTCTGCGTAAACCCCCACTGTAGGCTGTCACCAAATTTGAAGACATTGGGTACAACAGTTCATGAGATATCGCGTTAACAAGAATCCGGATGTACGTACGGACGCCGCTGAATACACAGTCACCCGTCGCGGCGGGGGACACCAAACAAGTGAACTTACGTTTGAAGAACCAACTGTCTTGTCTCAGGGTCCTTTGTGACATAAGCTGTGAGACCAACAGCACTTGACCCCTTGCCAGAGGTGTACTGACCTCGAGGTACCAGGTTGTGAACATACTGCAGGAGTTGTGACTTGCTGGTACCGGGGTCACCACACAGCAAGATGTTGATCTCAGATCTGAAACACAGACGCAAGTAAACCATAAATTACAAAAGAAAATCACGAAGTTGAACTAAAGCAGAATCAATGTGTCTACACTATAATCCTTACTGTAATAATATCACACGTAATGAGCTGGGTCAACTCCCTATTTAGCAATGCTGCAGCTGTGCTAGTTATTTTTAGAGTGACAGTGATTTAGTGAGTGATTGAGTGAATGAGTGAGTTAAGTTTTACGCCCCACTCAGCAATATTCCAGCCATATGGCAGCGGTATGTAAATAATTGAGTCTGGACCAGACAATCCAGATCAACAGCATGAGCATCGATCTGCGCAATTGGGAACCGATGACATGTGTCAACCAATCGAACTGAAAAAGGGCCACTGATGTGTGACAAGCCAACACATTAACCTCCAGGCCACCACATGAAACTCAGTGATATATTTTACCAGACAAAGTAGTGTAGTACACTGCAATCTATCAAAGGCTCAAAAGTTTTCATTCAGTGCACAGAATATTTCAGTAAGGCAAGCATTACCTGAACTTCCCCCTGCCAGAGTTAGTGAAATCCTTCCGACATCCACCGAACAACTGCATCAGGATGCCCTTCTTGATGTCTTCGTTTTCATAGATGCTAGGAGCTGGGGAGAGAAGTCATAATAAGCAAGGGAATCGAGGGTAATTCACCTGAGTTTTGTCCAAGAAGATATATTTATCAGTTCCCAATCAGAAAACATACTGCTGTTATTTTGCTCAAGACAATAGTAATGGAATCTGTCCAGGACTCTATCAACTTTTGATATCACAATCTTATGTATTATTAGTTATCATTTGGGTATGGGGCAGTGGGGTAGCCTAGTGGTTAAAGCGTTGGTTCGTCAACACAGAAGACCCAGGTTCGATTCCCCACATGGGCACAATGTGTGAAGCCCATTTCTGGTGTCTCCCGCCATGATATTGCTGTAATATTGCTAAAAGCGGCGTAAAAACTAAACTCACTCATTTGGATATAGTTGAACAATGTCCTGCACCATGATCAAGGGGCAATAACTCCAAGGGGCAATAACTCTACATTTATATAGCAAGGAATTTTCGGACCCTTTGATGGACAGACTTTTTGAATCATTAATGTCAAAATGAGCAACATTTCATAGTTATATCTTCAAGTAAGCATTCATGAATTTGGTATTTTCCCCCACGTTTTAAGTAAACAGTTTCAGATATATCCAACGAACAGAAAAATAATGGGATAAAATGAAATACATCTCCACTCTACAAACCCATCACAAAAGCTACACATGTAAAATATAGCTATAAACATGAAAGAGGAACTTAATCCTTGGTTTAGGAATTCTGACAGACTCTTGCTGCCTACTCTGTACCAAACATTGATATTTCAGCTGGTCAAGCTGCATCACAACTTATGACATTGAGTAAGTAGTTTATGTTGTACCTATAGCCCTTGCCAGTCTCTCGTACACATCAGACTTCTTTGACAGCTCCTTGATCAGTTCGATTCTCTCTTCAGGGAATCGGGCTTCATTGCTGAAATATGGAGGAAGATTATGGAAATGAGTTCATCATAACGCTGACAACACAGGGTCATTTCATCAATGTGTTTGTATCAGCAATTAAAATAAATGTTATCAGGATATAAAATATAACATGATTCGATCTAATTGTTCAGTTTTCTACACAATTGTCAAATTTGGTCACATTAGTTTCTCTTTCAATCAATTTGGACACTGAATAACAACATTTAGAATATATTTTCTTTGTATGATGAATTATGATTGGATGAAGATTTGTTTAATGGGATTGTAACAAACCCTCTCATTGGCTGCTTTGATAAACATTTTCCTCCGCATTAACAGTAATGGAGGATGTTACAATTTTGGCGGATTTATAAGATAATTCTTGCATTCTTGCATTTGCATCACTCCACACAACAGAATGCGAGTGACTCTACTGGTGCATGGATTTTTTCCAATGAAAATGATAAATATGAGGGCCTGTAATGCAACATCACATAAATCTAGCAGCCTGGATTATCTTACCCTTCATCGTCATCCACCTCCCTCAGCCTCTTCTGATCCACCTTACGGAAGTGGACAACATCGATGTGGGTCTTGTACACAGACTTCACATTCCTCATCTTGGGGTTGACCCTTAGAGGGGTGGCTCTGTAGATACCGGTGACGGTCACCCTGTCGCCAGGCTGGACACGGTCTACCAAGTCGTTGTGGGCGTACAAGATAATTGTGTGGGGAGTCTGACCAGGGGGCATGTCCTCTGTAAACACAAAACATTTCATTTCAGAACTGACAATCACAGAAAGAGAAATGCTAAACTTAACAATTTCAAACATTTCATATGTAGACTAACATAACAGCAGAAATGACATGACTCTGTATCTGTAAGAGGACGGGTTCAATTAGATCGCCATCATATAGATGGAGTATGGCATGGCATTAAACAACAAACATAATTCACTAAGTAATCAACCTTCAAGTTTTAAAATGTAAAAGCACACCAGCTTAGAATGACCTCGGATTACCCATTAATTCATACTTTAAGGTTTAAACTAATGACTAAATTTATTCAGCTGTTACTTACAAATGTAACGTATGTTATATTTGGGATTACACTTTCTTAGTAAAGTACAGATTCTAGTACTTTTGGGGTTGAGTCCCATCCAGGATTCAAACCCACACCCTCAGAGTCAGGCACCTAATCGCCAGCACACAAAGTCAGACGCCTAGACTGCTCAGCCACCGCGGCTTCCACAAAAATGGAAGTCAGACAACTGGTAGTCTAGACTGCGAACTTTGTGTACCCCTCTGATAAGTGTTAATTGGTAAAGTTATGAAATACACAATGCCATTTTAGAAAGTGGTCAAAATGCCATTTTAAAGTGGTCAATATCTGGGATTACACTTCTTTACTGAGAAAGTGTAATCCCAAATATAACATACATTACATTTGACCACTTTCTAAAATGGCATTGTGTATTTCATGCTACTTACAAAATTTAGTAAAATAGGCTCTGGCGACACATTTTGACTAATTAAAATGCTGTTTAATGCCAACAATGTCACATCAGACATAGTTTAACCACACGAAACTCCTACAACTACACAAACCTTCAGGTCATGTATTGTTACCATCTCTGGAAAAACATGAATTTACTAAAAGATTTCAGTTCTGGTGATCATGATTTCTGCCTTGGAATATCCTCAGGGGTTATCAAAAAGAAAAAAGATGTGTACCTGGAGATTCCTGGAGCTTGATCATCTGTTTGTCGCTGAACTGAGAGCGGTTGTGTACCAGGGTGAAGGAGTGGTTGGTGTTACAGTTGGCACAGAGAGTCGGCTCGGAGATACGGCCACGGTCGATCTCCACAGACTTGGTGCTGGAACACACATGGCATCGGAAGAACGCTTCTCTCATTTCAGGGATCAGAGACGACAGTCGGATCACCATTCCGCCAATTGTCAGCAACTTGTCAATATCTGAAACAAACAACAATCAAGTAAACATATTACTTCACATGAAAAAGGAAAAGATTAGGATAAATATTATCATATAAAACCTCAACATACACAACCCTTCCTTCTTGGAATTTCTTAGCTTATTAACACTGCAATAATGCAGCTAAATGGCTAACTGCAAATTACGAATCTGCAATCTGGTCCAGACAATCCTGTGATCAATGATCCATGTCTTCAGAGTATGTGTATACACTCATATAATGGAACTTCTGGCTAGGTGGAATTCCCCTTTGGATAAGCAGAAATTGGGACATACTTTTGTACTGTTCATATGAAACATGGATCCCCATATTATCACCACTTCAAACGTTAATGTCCCAGTACCAAACAAACAGATTTAATGTTCTTAATTGTAACCTACCTTCAGGATTAAGTGATCTCATGTTTTTCGTTTTTTCCGAATTAAATGGTCGGACTTGGATTGTATGGTTAAGAACAGCATCTGGGTATTTTTCAAAAAACATTTCGTTGACGGCCATATCGAATGTGGGAATGACTTCCTGCGGGTAGTTGACCAGCTGACGGTATATCTCAGCATCAAACTCCTGCAAGTGCTTGCTGTTGATGTTCAGGAATGGCTCTCCGATTCGCGTTGATCTGAAATTGATGTAATCAACCATGTATTGAATGTTTGACACAAAATAATTCTGATACGATTTTGTTTGTATTTTGTCGCAGTCTGGAATATGAGCTGTACTAAGGGGGCCTGTAAATAACCAAAACTGGGCCATGCAAACCAGAGACTGATATTACGATCACCACTCCTTGGAGCCAGGATATAATCACCATCCAATCCTGTTTAGTCAACATTGAAACCAGTCATAAGGCAACTGTCAACCATTTCCAATAAGGATGGAATAATAAACAAGCAAGTACAGTGATCTTTTTATGATTAAGTTTGTTTCACACTGAATTTAGCAATATTGCTCGGAGGCCTGTTAATAATCCAGTCTGGACTAGACAATCCAGTGATTATCAATTGGGATTGGATGACATGCATCAAACCAAGTCAGCGATCCTGGCCAACTGATCCCATTGGTTACCTCTTACTACAAACGTGGGTTGTGGAAGACCAACTCTAACCCTGATCTTCATGGGTCACTTGAGATTAGATGGACTCAAACAACAAGCTCTGTATCATGCAAAACTTAATAATGTGTTTTGCAAAATCTGTATCATGTATTTACAAAAAAAAACAATTTTAAATCTATGGAAAGAAATTAGAACTCAACATCTACTCTTAGCCATTTAGTATTCACAGGTAGTTGAATAGTTGTATTACATATCATCTGTACCTCAGCCAATCTCTGCAGATAGTATGGTTCATTAATATCCATCCCTGCAAACTGCTCATCGTCTGCGACCTGCTGCGGCGACGTCATGGTCGATGTATTTGGTGATGAACCGCTTGAACTTGTCCTTGCACTGTTCAATGTCTACATCAGTTCCCCAGATAACCAACTGCGGTCCGCTGTTCGAGTCTGTGCCAAGCTCGCTGGTCACACGAGTGGGTTCCTACAAAACATAGAATGGGTCAGTAAACACGGATTATCAGGCTAAAGGTTTTGTTTGTTGTGTAACACTAAGCAACATTGCAGCCATCTGATGGCGGTCTGGAAGTTATCTAAACTGGACCAAAATCCAAGGATCTATATAAACATTGATTCGTGTCATCAGGGTAGGACATCCTTACAAAGTCATAAAACCTCACCCAGTTTTTATGAGTTCTCATTACATGACTGAAGTAATACGGCCATATTTAGGCATGGAATGTCCAGAAGAAACATTCAAATTATTGTCCAATGAGGTGAAGAACGGTGTTCCAATTATCGGTTAAAATAGCCTCATAAAAGATTATTTTGAACAAACTAAGTATTCCTTACAGATGGTTCGGACCCTCCAATGGCCACTTGTTTCATTTTCTTGCTGCTCCGTATGTCTGATCGGTGCCTGACTGGGGTCTGACCGAGCCCGGGTGTGCGGGGCGTGCCAATACCGCCCCGGGAACTTGGGGTGCCGTAATTCAGAGGAGAGCTCAAATCAATCTCACTTGTAGGAACTAAAAATAAAATGGAATATTATCACATTGAGTTTCATAAAGCTGTCAGCAAATTACCAATCATATAACAAGTGAAAACTTCTTTCAAGGAAAGTCAGGGTACGATTAAATTGAAACGCTATTAGACAAGTGAAAGAGTGAAAGATCCCAACAGTCCGTCTTGAAAGAAATATCAACATGATCTTAGGACAATATCATGATCCGTTACGTGGCAGTATTGTTAAGTACATCAGTGGCAGCAAATGGCTGAAGCACTTGTAAAATATCAAGTTCTGCAATTGCCATTTTGACAACAGGCAGAGTTCGCGGTAGGTTTTGTTTTTGTGCGTGCAGAAAGAAAATGAGAAACATGTAGTCCAAATCTATTGTGTGTAAAATTTTCATTACAATAACATCATTATCATAACAAGTAATTATAATTACAAGCTTTAACTTACGTTCCAGTGTTTGAGTATAATGAACGATCATGATGTGTGTAGTGTTTGCCAACCTGAAGCACGCCATTAATTTCTTGAAGTTTCATAAGAAAGGAAAACTTTCTCCCCAGCATTTCCTCCTTGGCCATGCCATAGACTGTGCGTAACATCGCTATTTTGGACGATGGATCTTGTTCAACCTTTTCTTCAAAGTGTTTTTGCAATGTTTTTGATATTGTTTCTGAACTGATTGCAAGTTTGTGGTCCGCCAAGACACTATGTCTAACCAGAGCATTTCGCTGACCTACACCCTCTTGTAAAGGTGCAAGTGGCTGTATCCTCACAGGGTGTTGAAGTATTGTAAAATTCTTGTCCTTCTGTGGGGGTACGTCAGTCCCAAAACATTTAAGGTAAATTTATACTTACCATATTTTTTAAATGTAGTATTTGTGTTATGTTATGTAGTAATTAGTTTCTGCAATCGCCAGCGGCTGAAGGTATGGCGTAAATCCAACTAGGTAGCAAAGGTACTGTAAGTCCCCATGGTCCCTAGTATGGTGACCTACCTTCAGTTGCTGGTGATATATGGCCAGTTTTTATATAATGTATCGTTAATAAAATTTGTTTACTTTTACAGGTACATGCTAATTTTAATTCTCTATCTGTGATAATCTAGTTATTTTACTGTCTTTCGTCAACAGTTTTTTATGATTTAATTGCATTTATTATGAATTTGTAATTTGTTAAAGTCACAATATGGCTGAAATATTGCCGATGTAACTATAAACTCACTCATTCTTCTAAAGGTATTAGACATGCCGGCTTTTTCTCACGCTGTGCAAAACATGACAATCCCATCCGTTGACGATGTTTGTAGCAACCACAGAATTTCGTCTATGAACAGCCTAATAGATTTGTTTTAATTGCTTTTAAAGGTACTTTTTAAAAATTAAGTAGATCAGAATCTGTGTGTGCAAAACACGCACGTACAATATGTTTGGGCATGGTGTTATGATTTTTTCACTGTTAAACACAGAACAAACTTGGTCATTTCAGAAGTTTTGTGATCGTGCAGTTTCTGGAAGTCACCCAAGAAAGAATTGAATCTTATTTACTTCATCTGGACTTGATATTTATCTGAAAACAGTGTACACAAGCTTACAACTCCACTCCTGATTCAAAATAACACTGAAAATAGTCTGGATACTCGCAAGTGCACAAACTTTTGTCACAGAGCATGTTTGTTATTGCTACTGACCAGTGTTTCATCAACTGTATTGCCTTTCATGATAGTACACCTTAAACTCAATATTTGTTATTGAGCAGATACTAACCAATTTCACATTTACTTTCTGTACAAACCAACTTCTGGGTTAACCTTTGTGTTTCAATTTGGAAATAATCCTGTAAATTCTTACATAACGAGTCAGACCAACACATTGAATATAACAAGTTATTAACTTACTGCCATTCTTTGGACTTGAGAACAGACTCTCGTCCCCAGCCTGCCCGGAGGGGGGTGAGGATGGCATGGGTGCGAGGTCGCTGCCAGGGGAGGCATCCATTCGGCGCCCGGCGGGACGGTGGGGATGAACCCTCTCCAGTCTTCTTGGCAGACTTCTTGGCACTGCCTCGTGTGGAAGAGGCTGAAACACAACAGGGATTTATCTTCATTATGTATCCAAGTGCCTTCAGTAGGTAACCTGTGAAAACAATTTTGTACAAGAACTTGGTTTTTTGTTCAAGTTCTCACATTCAGAGGTATTTTAAACACTGCGTTTAATTTAATAATGCATGAAAAATAACTTTAAGAAGAATTTGTTGAACAACATCATGGTTGAAAATCTTAATGGGAATTGTGAAATGAGTTAGTTCAAATCTGAAATTCTAACTGACATTTCCCACAGACTTGAGGTCAAATATAAGTCTCAGAGCAGGAGTAAATTTAAATCTCTGGAAAGCTACATCAAGGATCAGGTGTTACAGAATGATTTCTGCCTGCCTCAGACAAGAAGGTTAAAGCAGTGACTGTTGATTCTGAAATTAGCAGATAAACAGGTTTTAGAAATATTTTTCAACTTACGTGTACTAGCGCCAGACCGTGCACTTCTACGAGATGCTAAAAAATAAAACCCACTTTGTATCAGTTCTCAGCATGTGTAGGTGAAACACATTATCTAACCAAACCTACTGTCTCACTTGATATTAAAATTAGAAACAGTTTTTGAGAAACCCAAATTCAACATATGGAAACATATTGAATACATCCACATGTGCTGCAGTGAATGATTGAATAACTGATAATCTTGCTCGCATCAGCGATTATCAAGGAGCTCAGGAGATGAGTCGATATTTATTAAAAACGTAACTTTAAAAAGCATGTTTCTTATCGTTAGTTTTGTCAAAGCAAGTCATAAAAAACTGCAGCAGTTTCCTTTCTCATAAAACTGCAATGTAAACAACATACTTGTGTCCTGGTCTGAACAGGAAGGATCTGTTGATCGCGGTATTAATCAGTATCTGTTTAGTTTGCACAATGTTATGAATGCCCACAAGATTTTTGTGGCGTGGTTTACGATTACAACTGATTACTGATCGATTACTGATCTTCAAATGGAAGGACTTCCGCCTGTATCCACCATTACATTTCATTCTAGTCAAAACATATAATCTGAATATATATTCCTCATCTGATAAGGATGAGTTTTAACATGTTTTTTTATTGTATCTGAATATATGAAAGACATATCCAACGTTTTACTTTTAAAACTGCCACTCAAAGAAGTTTTTGCTCATCGTTAAAATTTAGGGGATACCAGCGGAAGTCTTACCATCCATTTGCTATGGAACATAACATGTACACACTGTGTTCTCAACAACAGTATTAAACCTACGTGTTCTCTGCCCTGCGTCTTCACTCTCAGTGGGGCTGCCAGGCTCAGAGCTGCGACCTCGCTTGCTACGTCGACGTGGTGTTGTAGGGGATGACATGTTTTCTCTTAGCTCTGAAATAATATTTTCATCAGAACCTGCATAAGTGTCCAACAATGCTGAGAGTATTAACAGGATAATAAACTTACTCCAAAGAACGCTTTCCTCATCACAATTTTATTCTTTCATGTTGGATATTTGGACACAGGGGAGATACCTTTTGTCATCTATCCATCCATAAATGTTATGGTCCGATTTCCTACATTTCAGAACTAGGGTAGGTAGGTAGTTTTTTGTGTGTTTTTTTTGCAAAATATTTTTACATTCCTCATGTGTCAGAAAATAAATTTAATTTATTATGTGGTGAGTAAAATTGTTAGGATCGGCGGGAATATTTAGGGTCGGTCGGGAAATCGGAACCACAAGCTTTTTTTTTTTAGGCCTTATTGTGAAAAAGCAATAACAAAACTACATTATGGGGACAAAATAAATATTTCCAATAGTCTCAGACTAAGACGGATCCGTGTCTTAGTCTGTTCATGATCATCAATCCCATTCTCAATATATGTCTGGACCATTTCAATGAATCATGATGGATGACTCGACAATTTGTTTATCGAGGGGGATAAGTATCTGAAAGCCTAATTACTCGTGTGTATTATTGATCCAAATTGTTCCTACTTACATCAACAAACAATGAGAGTAATACAGAGCTACAGATAACTTTTTGGGTGATATTGTGTTATGTACTCACTTGTGTTCATCTGAATTGGGTATCCTAATTTTTCTTTGAGTAACCAAACACCTCACTCAACCTCAATCGGGTATTTTGCCATTTTCCATTCAATTTGAAAATATAGTAAAATTCGTATGTTAATGTTTGTTATTTATATTTGATCTGTAATATGAGAAATGATAAGAAAGCCTGCAAGTTGTCAAGTTCATGTCCTGAAATAGAACCTCTCAGTATACTTCAGTTATTTATCCACCAGCACGCAAGCTAAGATTTGACATTTTTTGTGTACGCGTACTTGTACGCAATAGACTGAATAGAAATTGAGTTTTCACATAAATTTTGCGTAATTTACGCAGATACGCAGCTTATCTGTACCTCTGGTAATAGTTAAAACAGCTTCAGAATCAATATTAAGAATTATCTTTAAAAGATGGCTCCTCCAGTCCTTGTACAAACATTAATACAACGAGTATCAGCGGGGCAATATGTTAAGAAAACATCTCAGGTTTTCCAAAAGACACCACTCACATTCACATTCTGATACTGATCGACCAAAGAAAACAAAATAATGCGCCAGTTTAAATAGATTGACTCTGCACTTCTACTTCATATCCCAGCCACACTCAGTCAATGGCTGACATGAAACAAAATCAACATCTTGAGGAAAATATTTCAGCCTCTACAACGTATGGGAGCGTTGACATGCATGATCGACGAGATCCATGTTCAAAATTAACCTAAATCAAACAACAGAAGACATACAATGATACTGAATACTGATCAAATTCAAGAAATCCCGTTTTCACTCACATTTCGAATCGTACTACCTCTCTTCCACGACACACTTTCCCGCGAAATACACACAAAGCTGTCACGTGATATATTTCGCGGGAAATGGATTTCATGTGAAAGACGAATTGTTATTCTATTCCGAAAAGAGAAAAATAATTGATGTGCCTAAGTTTGAGTTGATGGTCTACACGCCATCTCTCAAGCATGTTTTAATATCACTATAATAACGGAAATACTTATGACACCAAATTTGTTATTTACTAAACAAAATTAGTGCTATTGCGGATTTTATGTGTTTTTTTTTAGATATATAACGAATTCGGAACTATAATATATATGACTGATATCTTAAAATCGAAGTGTGATATCAAGAATTTACGGTAAAAAGGCTTCTAGTTAACAATACTTTCTCTGTCAGGTCTATTATGCAGGATATTTTATCGGTAATTCCTTTGCGCTTTTTTTCAAGGCATTTTTACTCCAGTTTAACATGGTACACCACAGACCAAAAATAAGTGTCCATGCCAATGCATGGGGTTCTTCAGCATAACACCTCAAAGACAACCAAGAGGGTTGTTAATTTGCAAAATGAAAATGTGATTTCTCAATACTACGAATTCAAACTTTTATACGTAAAACCAGAGACCATATAATATTATGGTCTCTGGTAAAACTCACCATTATTTCAAGATAACACCAAATGAATGTTTGATATCAGTAATTAACATCATTTTGGAATATATTACAGATACAACTATAGATCGTTTTTTGTGATACATATCTAAATATCTAGATCATGGTGTTACACGTTATTTTCTGATATTAAATGTAATTGGTGATGTTAAAAAGCAAAAGGGAATATATAGAAACGGCGAATAATACCGTTTAAGAAAGACCTCCATGAAACTTTCTTCTAAGTTTTCTTATTAAAACAATAATAACCGAATTAATTCCTGAATATCTCCAAGTGTTTTCTTTAAATATTGTTTTTGCGGCACAAAAGTGATTTGTGATTCGCATGTAAATTCCTGATTTACTTTTACTGAAAACCCCATTGAAGTCGTAAAGTAGGAAACCTAATATCGAAAATCTTACTTACAAATCAGCATTGATAACCATTCATTTTGATTAGGTGAATTATTTGTGGTATACTAATAAGAATGTCAGTAGAGATACACACACAAATGAACTTTGCACTACAATAATGTCGTAAAATCTATGAATGGCACCGCTTTACGATATCGACTCACTTTCGGCACACGCACATGTGTTTACAACTAAATGTCAATCTCACGTGGAAAATATTGATACTCCAAGCATCGAGAGATTAACATGCGGTGTGAATGCAAATTTGCAAGGGATCTTTTGTAGACAATAAGTATATCCACCGGTTTAAACATGGCGTCTTGTTGTAGATTCAGATACCGTTGTTTACTGTTAAGAGCGACGAGTTCATTATATAAGTTACAGAATCACACCATTTCATTAAGTAGAACCATTTCAAGTGGGAATGGTCATGATAGTTCTGAACCCAGGATTCCAAGACGATTTTTGAAGAAGCTAGAAAAATTGAATACCAAAGAAACGAAATATGAAATATCCTTCTCAGAAAAACACACACCAAATTCATCCCATGTGATTCACGATGAGAAACACACTCCAGAACAAGTGGCTAAACTTGTCAGAGAATCAGTGACTCTGACAAATGATACACTTCCAGAATTTCCATCCGATATCAAAAGCTATGATAACAAAAAGAGACTACAAAGTAATAAAGCGTACAGACCAGCGATTGATCCATCATTGACATCAATTGTTCTTTTTCAAGGACAAGGAAGTCAGTTTGTAGGCATGGGGAAGGAATTACTACCATATCCTGGAGTGAAAGAACTGTTTGATAAAGCCAGTAGCATTCTAGGCTATGATCTGTTGAAGATATGTTTGAAAGGACCCTTTGAGGAGTTACGAAAAACTGTCTACTGCCAACCAGCGATATTGGTTACGTCTCTGGCAGCGCTGATAAAGTTAAGGGAGCTTCATCCAGAGGTAATATCTACAGGGCACTAACCGACTGAGATGTCTTATCAGACTATGTATGTGAATGTAATGTTATATTTAGTGGTTCATGGTATTATCTGTAGTATTGGTATTTCATAACTCCAAATGTAGGGCTATTGGTGTTTGGAAATACACGATGCTATTTAGAAGGTGGTCAAATGTAGCATGTGTTATATAAGGGGGTGACCGGACAAAATCCACCCGGAGTAAATCCACCCGGAGAAAATCCACCCCAAAATTGCCACCCCGGACAAAATCCACCTCTTCTTAACAAAAACATGGACAAAATCCACCCTTCTCTAATTGCTGTTGTTAAAAGTTTTACCAAGAAGTACTTCAAGCAGTTGTAGATAAATGTAACAAACTCGGTTTCGAACCAGATCCTTCTGTTATTGTAACAGACTTTGAGTTGACTGCCATCAATGCTGTATCTGTTGTGTTAGGTTCTCATGTAAATGTTCATGGGTGTTTCTATCATCTCACCCAAAGTATGTGAGTGTGCTATGAAGATACAATCCTTCAGGTCTAGTTTCCCATTATCGCAGTACAAAGACCCTGGTGCCAGTTCTGTGCTACCCTGGATCGAATGGATTTTGCAATTGTTTTGGCAGCTGTAAAGCAAGGACTGGTTGCCTGCTTTAAAGTCAGGTTATTGTGTCAGTGCAATATCCAACTGCATTTGGTATCTCAGTGGGTTGGCACTATAAAACTTTCATTTGTCCAGACTAGTACAGTGCACCTGGTTATAATGCCACCCTGGATGTAATGCCATATTTTCTCCTGGACAAACGGTGGCATTATAACCAGGGTATACTGTACATGCAACACACATACTGGCCATATAGCTGGAATATTGCTGAGTGCTGCTTTAAACAATAAACGCCAAGTACCCCCAAAACACGATAGGCACGCACGCACACACACATATGACATGAGGATATCTTGAATGCAATGTTAATTCCCATTTCAACTTGCCTGAACCATTCATAGGCTACCTTGCTGAAAGTGGCATAAAGTAGTCTTGTAATCCTTGATAGGTAACCGAAAAAAAGTCCAAAATTTGCCTAAGAAGAAAACGGTAAAAAAAAGTCCTATTTTGAAAAAGGAATTTTTGACAAAAGAATACAAAGTATTTGTTAGTTTTTTATAGTTTTTCAAAGCCGTTTAAGCGTTTATTGACTTCCATGTAATGTATATTCATACAACAAATGTAAAATAGACAGATCCTGTATACATTACAGAGGTTTTCAGCTTTATTCTACTACAGAATATTGATGAATATTTATGTCTACTGACTCTTGTATTCATTCATATTTCAAAACATTATTTTGAAGATCAAAGTATGAATTTGAATATCTAATCTGTCAGATATAATCACAAAATGAAAGTACTTCATGTTTCTGAATGTCATTTAAAAGATCAAAGACCTATCCAAATATTTAATACGTCCTTTTAATCACCCTTTGTATGTGAGTACTTTATGTTTTCACAAGTGTCATTAAAAAGATAAAAGATTAATTTATGTATTCAATAACCCATATGTGTGAGTTATCAATGTTTTTCTAAAATCTTTGACCTCAAAGTTGATGAATAAATAAGTTTTTATTACAATAGGACTTTTTCCAGAATACTTTTTTTCCGTTTTTTTTTTACCAAGGACTTTTTTACCTTCAATCGCATAACACTCCTACTCACTCTCTCATTCTCTTGCAACAGGTGGATGACAAATGTGTTGGCACAGCGGGGTTCAGTGTTGGTGAACTGTCAGCTCTAGTCTTTGCGGAGGTGCTTACATTCGAAGATGGTAAATATCTGCATATAGAGAAACTTGAATAGTTGATTGGAATCTGATTTAAGTCTTTGAGAGTTCTGTTTTGATTATTGCATTGTGTCTGTCAAACCTAAAACATCAAGAAAGGAAAATAAAATATTTTCTATGATTGTCATTAGAAAATAAGATTTACTTATGACAGTCATACTAGGATGTAAGGCTGCATGAAGTTAGTTCTTGATATTTCTGGTTAACATTGATATATGTGTAGGGATGTGCTGGCAGTATTGTGTTTTGTCTTGAAGCGTTATTGTTCCATCAACTTGTTGCATGTTGTGCTTCAGTATCATTTGGGAAACAGATGGATTTGGTTAAATGAGTATGACATTATTGTAATCTTCAACATTTCTTAAATGACACATTTTGCAGATTGTTTTCTGATATTTTTCTGAAATTAACTATTATCTTGGAGAAATCAGTTGAATATTGAACAAAATCTTGAATTGAGCCATGACAAGCAGATAATTTAGTTTTCAACTGCACAAAAGCCTAACGTTTGACCAAACGTTTCGTATTGTGTATGTAAATATCAGTTAACTAGTAGGTTTTGCTATTCAGTAAACTTTGAAATGGTTAGGTTTTAGGTTTTCAAGGCAACAATTTTGACTTGCATTCAAAGGTGGTTTGGGTTCATTTTCGGAGCATAGCTTAAAAACTGGTTATAGTTTATTAAGTTGTGTATGCAATATCTGATAGGTGTTGAACTGGTGCCTTTCGTTATGCCAGTGTATGAAATATGCCAAAACCCCAGCTAGACATCAGGGCTGGTAACTTAAAAATGTTACCAGTCCAGCATAGGCGGATCCAGAGGGGTGTGCAGGGGTGCGCGTCCCCCTTTGTCCTGAAAGTTTATTAAATGACCATTGAAACTTTCGTGAAAATGAAGTGTGCACCCCACTTTCTCAAGAGTTTGCACCCCTGCTTTCTCAAAAGGCTGTATCCGCCCCTGGTCCAAAATGGATTTAACCAGACCAGACACCAAGATATGACTCAGATGTATATAACATCTAAATTTTTTACCAGACCATCGGGCTGGCTAGCTAGCTGTAAATCTAGACCGTCTGTCTGAAATCTAACCCGTCTCGAGCGGTCGGACGGGCCTTATTTCATACACTGGTTATGCAGGAATATTTCACATTTCTAAGCCAGTATGTTCAACTTGGCTTCAAACAAGGTGAGGGATTGTTTACATATTAGGAGACCAATGTCTATAGTTGTGTGAAAGTGATGAACAACTAATTAATGGAGTTTCTAGGACTTCAGTCCTGCCCCACAATGAAGCAGATGTGACACATGTGGTCTCACTTTAGGCAACTGAGTTTGTTCAAAATTGCCTCTGTTCACCCAGCAGTGAATGGGTACCCGGTGGAATAATATGGTCATGTGACTGCTAACCTTCTTGCACCTCACAGGCAGCCTGGGTAATAATGTCCATAATGTTGATGTATATGTGGTAGTAGTAGTGGTGGTCCGATTAATTGAAAAAATCGAAGATTGGTCGCAATGACTAAACGACCAAGTAATTGATCATGTTTTCTCATAATCGAACACAAACAATTCTGGAACACTTTTTGCATTAACAATATTTTTCACACAGTTGGTTTTGTCTGTTACATTTCATGAACACGACATGCTCGTTCCAAGTCACAACTGAATTTATTTTAAAGACGACAAGAAATTTATGTTCCTAACATACTAGTCATCCTTTAAAGATGTGCAATTTGCAAAAATCACCCCAAGGAACTGCATGTATTTTCTTTATTTTTTGTGCATTAACAAAATAACCAGGAAAATTTCATAAATGATGCTAACCAATTATTTTCGATGATTGATCGGTTGTAGTGAACTAATCATCAATTACGAGATTTTAACCAATTCCCAACACTAATGCTTAGAGCATACCCATGCAATTCAGTGCCTTATAAGTGACATTATTGTTATTAATGGAATGTTGAACCTACACTCTTAATATTAAGCAAAGAGGGAAAGTATGCTACTTATTTCTGTTTTATTTTTCAGCTGTAGAACTAGTGAAAGTACGTGCTGAGGCAATGCAGAGAGCATCAGAGGAGATACCTAGTGGTATGATGACAGTGTTCTGTGGGCACGACACGAAGCTGAACTTTGCCCTCCATGCTGCCAAGGAGTACTGCCGTGTGAAGCTACAGATGTCAAACCCTGTCTGTAACATCGCCAACTATCTCTTCCCAGAATGCAAAGTTGTTGCAGGAAATATGGAGGTGAGGTTCCAAGTGAAGTTTTTGAGAATGGTGTATTAATGTTTTCATGTTTTTAATAAAGATTTTCAAAAAAGTTGATGCTTTTCACGAAGTATAACCCATCATTAATATAGATCTTGAATATAGATCAGATCATCTTGCCTGGTTGTCGCCATTTGATTGAAGCAAATGCAAGTAATATGATAAGTGGTATCCGATGCACTCCACAAGGTAAAATCTGATTGGTCAATAGGAAGGACATAGAAGGGACATCACTCACAATAGCCACTGGTGATACTACGATTGATCTAGAAAATTCCAGCAGTTTGGACCCGTGAAGGTCCGGGTTAGAATGTACCTTCAGTAACCCATGCTTGTCATAAGAGGCGACTAACGGGATCGGGTGGTCAGGCTCGCTGGCTTGGTTGACACATGTCATCGGTCCCCAGTTGCGCAGATCGATGCTCATGCTGTTGATCACTGGTTTGTCTGGTCCAGAGTCGATTATTTACAGACCGCCGCCATATGGCTGGAATATTGCTGAGTGTGGCGTAAAACTAAACTCACTCACTCACTCACTCCAGCAGTTTGGCAGGGGTGGAAACATTTTCAGTCAGCTGATCCCCTTTCCTCAAGAAGATGTACACAATGTACCGTCATCTTTTGTGAATACTAATGTATGGCTGCTTGGCGGTGAAGAGATATTTTGAGCAACAGATCGAGTCATGGTGTGGTTCTTGTGCAAGGGAAACCAGAGATTGCTAAAATGATGAGTTGGATGAGGTTACAAAAATAGGAGTGTTTGTCATTCAACGAGTGCTACAGACTTGTGACCACCTGTTCTATATATCGTTTCTATAACAAGCATTATTAAGTTTTCCCACATGTGGGTTGGGCATTTTATACTTTGGTTAATCACAGTCTAGGTCTGGGACAGGTAACCCGGTTACCTGGTACTGGTGGGTAATGAGTTGGACCACGGTACCCGTCTCAATACCCGGACCCGTTATGATCATGTGACTAATAGGTTAAACAATATGTTATTCTTTCATGATTAAAAGGTTGTATTGTCTTTGAAGATTGAGACATAATTACAGTCACTTCTTTTGAATGTAATACATGGTTAAGATATTGAAAAACTCGAAATCTTAGTCTCTGAGCTGAAGAATATATTGCCCTTTCTTACATATTTGATGTCAGGAATTAACATAAGAGGTATCCGGGGTAGGGTAATAGGGGGTGGGGTACCTGGGTAGAAAATTTCAACCTGTCCCAGCCCTAACACAGTCTTATTTTATCACTTGAACATGTTGACTAAGTTTGTTTCATTTATTTAATTGTTTAACACTGCACTCATCAATATTCCAACTACAGTGGAATCTGTCTATTACGGACTTGCCTGGGACCACTTCATTTGTCCGGATTGTAAAGCAGTTCGGATTAGACAACTTTTGTCCATTACCGTAGACACTTCCACGATGAGTTACCGTATATTACTGTAGATAAGCCGAATTTTGAGGACCCCCCCACCAAAAAACAGTCTGTAGAAGGTGGTCGGCTTATCTATGGGTGGCACTTTCGTCAAACTCTTTTCAGGGTATAAGAAAGAAAACAACATTGTATAGCTTTCGAGGCGTGAGTAGACGCAATATGATAGTGACTGCTGTGAAGGTTGTCTTAAGGTCTCAGTTGGCTGCGATTAACGGAGATGTTACTCCTGATGGACTGTTTTTTTAGTCAGCTAAGTCTGTATTGCAAAGCATTGTGCTCATAGCAAGTTGATTGTTGGGACTGTTATTTTAGTCCGTAATTCGTAACTGAGAGAGTCCGGATTATAAAGCAAGCTTTAATGATAAATTAAGAACAATTTTGTCTGGCCTCAGAGAGTAGTCCAGATTATGGAGAAAACCGGATTACACAGTCCGGATTTGACAGATTCCACTGTATATGCAGGGGTAGAAATAACCCATTGCCCGACGTCCGAGTCCAGTATTTTTTTCTGTCGGGCAAGCAAATGTGTATATCACGCTGTACCGGTGTCCAGTTGACTTTCCAATGTTAATAATGTTATTTATTTAAAAAATCAACAAGAAAACGTCCGGTATAGTGGAAAAATTATTAGGGCAAGTGATATTACATGTTTCACTGTACTGGAGTACACTAGCAATTTTAAAGTTATTTCCACCCCTGTATATGACAGTAGGATACAATGACGTGCATCAACCAACTTAGCAGGATAGATGACTTGAACCCGTTGGTCAGCTCATGTGACAAGCATGGGTTATTGAAGATCATTTGTAACCTGGATCTTTACAGTAACTAACATTTATAGAAGTTATATATTATTACAATTTGCAGTGTATGAAATAGCGTCTGCCCCGGCGGCCCGCTGCTTGCTAGTTACATGGCGGGCCGACAACTTTATTCTATAGCCAGCCCTGTGGGCCAAGTAATTTTCCAAGGGTATATATTTGACCATGTCATTGACTATGGGAAATATTTCGAAAATATATTTTTTTTCTCTCCTGCCTTTAGGTTTTCTGAGGACAAAAATCTGTAAAGCAAGAAATGAAATTGGTCTGGCCTAAGGGGCTAAAATAATGTTATTAATGAATTACTTGTAGTGAGGTAAACTTTAACATGTGCAAAAGCAAATTTAACGGCGGACAATGTTGCTCACGGAAATATTCGAAGAGTTGTGATTGTTACATACTATTAGAAAAGAACAACACTGTTCATTGGCTGAAAGCATTCTAGACCAATCACATTTAGTGTTAGATAAATGGGTAGGCTGATCTGTGGAAGTTATGGTTTGGTTGATCATGAACTATACAGACGTCAGCTAGCTACCACAAGTGTAAATGATATAAAAATTACCAGTCAAAGTAATATACCTTTTAAATACTAAAAGTACTTTACTTTTGGCAATTAATGAAGTTTATATAGGGGAAAAAAACAATCTAAAAACATTTTCTTGCACATTTACATTTTTGGCCAATAAAAATATTAAGAGTTTATTTTTTGAGCGGGGAAAAATAATGTTTATTTTTGTTCTTATTCCTGAAAAAATACGACCGGTGATCCGTAAAACAAGAAATAAAATTTGTCTGGCCTTATGTCAGTTTCCCATTTTTAATACAGGGCTGGTTACATGTTAATAGGGCCAGCAACATCTTTCACTTATCAACCCTGTGGGCTTCCTGGTTTTTTTTTAGGAGTTCCATACACTGCAATTTGGGTTTTGCACATATGGATTGGGCTTGTTTGACTTAGTGAGTTATACACGGGTGTATTTCAATATTTGACACTGTTGACTAAGACTGTCACTACCGCTACTGTGCTAAATAACAGCTGAATGCCTTTTGGTACTGGAGGGAACTGTCCTCATGCAGTGTTCTGTGAGGTTAAGGCTACAATCTTCAGTCTTGTGGTGAACCGATGCTTTTTGATGATTTGGTATTTTTTAGTGGTGTAACGATTCATCGATAGTATCGATGTTTGCATCGTCAACTACACGCGATACGAGTGCATCGATGCAAAACACATTTAGGTAATATATCAGGATATTTATATCACAAGGGTCCACGATACATCAATGTATCGCCATAAGAGATGATATATCCCGATACAACTTCAATACTACTTAAAGTTGTAAGGAGTATTGCATTAGGAATAGGAAGGGAGTCTCTTTGAAATTCTTCTGAATTTTAAAAACAAATTGAACATTATAGGAAATTGTTTGTGTCTACTATCTTTGTTACATGGACATTAAGGAGTTGGTGTATAAGTGAAAGAGTGTGAACATTTTCAAACTCTGTGAACTGTAGAATACTTGTCTTTAAGTAATTGAAATATGCTTTAGTTGTTTGACAAATAACACCATTTATTAACAACTATGAACCATGTCTTAGTTTTGTTAAGAAAGAGAACAAAGAGAAGATAAAATTTAGGAAGCATACTTAAGAGTTTTTTTCAGTGATTCTGAATTCTGACATAAATTACATTAAAATGTTTGTGAAAGCATCGGTGCAGAAACACACCTTCCCAAAGGAAACTTCGGTTTCAAACTTATATATGTTAGATCAAAGTATACTGAATATGTTTGACTGTACTTTAAAAGCATTAAATGCCGAAACTTTATTACATGAACTTTATTACATGTGTGTGAATGTAACACAAGATCTGCTGTATAACAAATAAAGATTCAGTCATTTTATCTATCACAGATGTTCTGCTATTAGAAATTGTAAAGTATCGGGATACGTATAGTATCGCCACCATTGTATCGGGATGATAATTGTATCGCAGGTTCTTGGCCAATTCTTTCATGATATATCGTCTCCCCTCATTAAACTGGTATTGGGATATATCGTCTCTCCACTCAGACCACGGTACACAGCTCTAGTACTTTTTAGAGATTTCTTTTCTTTTTTTCATCTGATAACACTTACAATATTACTTTTTTTTGCATTTTTTTTCTTCACTTCCAGGCTCTCAATTTCTTGGAACAGAATCACCGAGATTTCCGTATCCGCCGTCTAAAATGGCTCCCTGTGAGTGGAGCCTTCCACACCAACCTCATGGATTCGGCCAAGGCTCCATTCCGGGACAAGCTGAAACAGATGGAGCTGAAGAAACCGTGCGTTCCTGTGTACAACAACCTGAATGCCAGTCGATACAAGAACGCTTGGAATGTCGTCGACTTGTTACCCAAACAGATGTGTAACCCCGTCAGGTGGGAACAGACAATGCATGTGCTGTATGCTCGAGATCAGGGGAAAAACTTTCCGAAGACCTTCGAGATCGGCCCTGGAGGTCAGTTGGGGGTGTTGCTGAAGAAAGTTAATCATAAAGCTGGGCTGCAACTTGTTCGAGTGGATGTGTAGGAACGGTGTCGATCTTTGGTCCTCTATACAGGATGTGCAAGGAGTCAATGTCTGCTGTGTGAAGATACCATTTTGCAACCTCAGTTGGTATATTATATTAATTGTATGTTTGTTTGTTTAGTGTTGCACTCAACTGTATTCCAGCTATATGACAGCTGTCTATGAATAATCAAGTCTGGACCGGACAATCCAGTGATTGACATTGTGAACATTGATCTGCGCAGTTGGGATACAATGATATGTATCATACAAGTCAGCTGGGCAACCTACTGGTCCGCTTAATTCAAGCATTGGCTGCTGAAAACTAGTTCTAACCAGGATTGTAACCTGAATCTTCACACATTTTATGAATAAAACCATATTGAAACAAGTGTAGAAGTGAGCACAGCTCACATACCCCCGCTTCCCACTTTGGGACATGGAAATGACTAATATTGATATATATAATGTGACAAGGATCAGCAGCTCACAAGACTTTCTCTTTGACTCTACTAAACTTTATATACATGTTAGATAATAGTTTTGGCATGTACTGATTACGGTAATAATTTATGGAAACTAGATTTTTTTGTGTTTTCCTTGGAAACCTGACATACAATTGAACTTGACTGTCTCATGTTGCACACAATGGACGTAGATGAAGATTGCTATTTTTTAGCACATGGCATATCTGTGGGTCATGATTAACTTGTGTATTAAGTTTGGTGAACCTAGCATGTATAGTTTCGATGATATGCCGTGGTCAGGTAACCATCAAACACAATTTGCATGTACCTAGCATGAACCTAGCATGTAAACTTTAAGAGATATGCTCCGGACAAAACCATCAAACACATTTGGCTCTAAGTTATGTTTCCCTGGAAACAGCAAAAAAAACAAAATTCTGAAAAACCTTTAAAATAGCAAAAGGCACATCAATGGGTAATGATTAACATGTGTGTGAAGTTTGGTGAACCTAGCATGTAAACTTTAAGAGATATGCTTCGGACAAAATAATCGAACACATTTGGCACTAAGTCATGTTTCCATGGAAACAGCAAAAAATAAAATTCATATCTGGATCCAAACCCCAAAAGGCACCTCTAGGGATCATGTTTGATATGTGTACCATGTTTGATGAAGCTAACATGTATAGTATGGAAGATCTGCTCCGGACAAGATGACATCCTCATAGTCACAGCCTAAGTCGTGTTTCCATGGAAACAGCAAAAAAACAAAATTCTGAAAAAAAATTAAAATAGCAAAAGGCACATCAATGGGTAATGATTAACATGTGTGTGAAGTTTGGTGAACCTAGCATGTAAACTTTAAGAGATATGCTCCGGACAAAGTTTCGGGACGGACGGACAGAATGAACGCTATATACCCCCGTTACTTCTGTAGAGGGGGTATAATAAGGTGACATTAAGGTGATTGTGAGATATTGATAGTTTTAATATTTTAAAGAATTTGAGGTGGACCAAATATTGTGATGGTTCATTTTGTTACATTACTCAACATTTAGTTGGTATAATCAGATAGGTCATCCAATATAAATATAAATACCCGTTATTACATTTTTTCGATTTTTATAATATATATCTGTAGGAATTAAAGAGTAGACGATATATCAATATCATGATGAAAACTTCATTAGCAGAAGCATTGTCTGACAACTTGATGTTGTTAAATACGTTTTGATATTTGTTGCCGCACTCAGCTCCAATGCAGCCTACCCTGTGAATATCCGGATTAGTATTGGCCTTCAGTAACCCATGCTTGTCGTAAGAGGCAACTAACGGGATCCGCTGGTCAGGCTCGATGGCTTGGTTGACACATGTCATCGGTTACCAATTGCGCAGATCGATGCTCATGCTGTTGATCACTGGATTGTCTGGTCCAGACTCGATTATTTACAGACCACTGCCATATAGCTGGAATATTGCTGAGTGCGACGTAAAACTAAACTCACTCACTCAGTTCCAATGCAGCCTGTAATGTCATCAGTGATTGATATCATGAGCACTGAACTGTGCAGTAGGGATACGAAACACACATTAACCAAGCCAGTGAGACTGACCACCCGACCCTGATAATATTCTCTTACAACACCCATAGGTTGTTGGACTTGTTTCATCAATGTGATACAGAGTGCTGTAAACAAGTCACCCATTACATTATCATGATGTTGCCTGTTTGGGAATTCTATGTTGTGTCTTTTCAGAGATCAATAGCACGAGCAACTATTTATATTGTCATTCTACTTTATAGTTGTAGTCCGTGGGAGTTCATAATATCTCCACAGTACTCATGTTTGTCTCCAAGGTGACTGAATTAATCAGGTAATCAGGCTGTTTGACTTTGTTGATGGGATTGGGCAGAGTAGCCTTGTGGTTGAAGCATTTGGGCTCATGACGCCAAAGACTTGGGTTCGATTCTCCACATGGGCACTATATTTGAAGCCCATTCCATGAGCCCCTTGCCATGGTATTGCTGGAATATTGCCGAAAGCTCACTCACCGTTCTCATTCTCTTGTTGATTCTGACAATGTGGAATGTTGCTCATGATATTGGTCACTGGTTTGTCTTGTCCAGATGTGATTATTTAAAGGCTATAGTTATGTATCTGGAATCTGCTAACTGTTGAGTTAAATAGATGTCCCACGTGTCATACAATGAAGTTGACTTCAAGTGTGTGAGAGGGTGAGTTTAGTTTTAAGCCACTTTTAGCAATATTCCAGCAATATCGAGGCAGGGTGGACACCTGAAATGGGCTTCACACACTGTACCCATGTGGAAAATCGACTAGGGTCTTCAGCGTGATAAGCGAACGCATTAACCACTTACCCACCCCAATGATGTGTGAGTGAGTTTAGTTTTATGCCGCAGTCAGCAATATTCCAGCTATATGGTGGCGGTCTGTAATTAATCGAGTCTGGACCAGTGATCAACAGCATCAGCATCGATCTGCGCCCCATGATGAAAAGAATCAAAAGAAAACAAATATCTTCAATACCAGTTTACATTTTATTACTTGTTCATTCTCTCAATGGCAGTAATAATGCACTCTGCCATCAACAGGGACATACAGCTATCATAATGACGGGCTAGTGTACAAACGGTGAACACAACAAAACCACACTACAGGAACACCACACCGGTGAACACAACAGAACACTATCACAAGACAAAAGAAAACGTGGTTGGTAAGTTAACAATCCATGGTAGTGATGGGTGGGAACATCCTCGTTCATCAGGGTATTACATCCATCTTGTAATAAACATTCAGACCATTATCCCCATAGCTTCATCTAGGAAGCGACTTCACTCCCGTATCTTACATGGAAGATGATTTCTTGCTAGTGAGGGTAATTTGTTGGATGGCTAGTTATTTTTGGTTTGCAACAAAGCCGTGAAATCAGACAGTGGTATTTATCAAAATAGAATGGCAATATATTACCCTGCATGATAGAGGATGGGTCAGAGGTTGGTGATATGGTAGCAGTGATCAAGCCTTTGTGGTTGCTGCTTGTCAGTGCATGGGGAACTAACAAATAAATCGGGTGTTTGTCAAAGCCCACTTCCTTGGTTAAGATGTTAGCGTGAAATTCTGTTAACTGACCAACAGAGGACATGGAAAGTCATTTGAAGCCCTTTGCTTCGGTCATCAGACCCATAAAACTAGTGGTTTGTCACTGAACACTATAATCCTACTGCTAAACTGTCAGGTTTAATAATACATATTAAAGCTAACAGCCCACGTGCATTCCTTGAAAAATCAGACTCTGCTATGGATCAGGGTGCCATTGTACAAAGCGATCTTAGGGCTAAGGTGACCTAACTCCCATACCTTAACATAGACTTAAGGTAGTCTTAGCGCTAAGGTGATCGTAACTCCCATACCTTACCATAGACTTAAGGTAGCCTTATCGCTAAGGTGATCGTAACTCCCATACCTTACCATAGACTTAAGGTAGTCTTAGCGCTAAGGTGATCGTAACTCCCATACCTTACCATAGACTTAAGGTAGTCTTAGCGCTAAGGTGATCTAAGGTGTCGTGAACTCCCATACCTTACCATAGACTTAAGGTAGTCTTAGCGTTAAGGTGATCGTAACTCCCATACCTTGCCATAGACTTAAGGTAGTCTTAGCGCTAAGGTGATCGTAACTCCCATACCTTGCCATAGACTTAAGGTAGTCTTAGCGCTAAGGTGATCGTGAACTCCCATACCTTGCCATAGACTTAAGGTAGTCTTAGCGCTAAGGTGATCGTAACTCCCATACCTTGCCATAGACTTAAGGTAGTCTTAGCGCTAAGGTGATCGTAACTCCCATACCTTGCCATAGACTTAAGGTAGTCTTAGCTCTAAGGTTGTTTTGTACAATAGGTCCCTGCTCCTTATTTGTGAAGACAGGATACAGGCACTAGGGATGGAAGAAACCATTTGATTTCAATTCAGGATCGGAATCCTTTGATTAAAGATTGTTCAGCTTAAAACCTGAATCAGTGTGCCTGATCTTTGATAAACCTCTTGGAGATTCTAAAAGAAAGATTTGAGTCAGTAATTTGACATACTCTGTGATTAAAGGCCTTGCTTCACTAAGCACCCCTGATCAACCTTAGGCCAGTAATGTGTACGAAGGTTGCCTAATAGTGAGTGAGTGAGTTTACGCCGCTGTCAGCAATATTCCAGCTAATGGCGGTGGTCAATAAATAATCGAGTCAGTGCCAGATAATCCAGTGATCAATAGCATGAGCATCCATCTACGCAATTGGGATACGATGACGTCGGACTGAGTCTGACCACCTGATCCTGTTAGTTGCCTGTTATGACAAGCATGGTTGCTGACCACCAATTCTAACCTGGATTGGGGGGGAACTTCAGTATTGCCTTTCACAGCTTAGTGATGATTTACAACTATTTCCAGCTAATGTAACTAGAATCAACCATCATGTGTTGAATGGACTTCAATTGCCATTGTTAATTGTCATTAGGAGTTATCAGTGGGTAGGGGGGAGTTATATTTCTCACTACCGGTAAGTTTTCAAGTCAGTTTTTCAAGGAACTAATAAAGTCTCATCCCTGTTTCACAAGTGAGATTTACCTATATCTCGAGATTAGTACCATTAGGGTGTACCGGTCTGTAATGTCCCTTGATATGTTGTAGGCTGTTATTCAATTGGTCGCAATTCCCTGAGTTGGATATGATATTCAAATCTGTTTAGAACAGTTGAATGAAATTCTAATGTGAATGGGTGTTAATCTGTTACCATGGTGTTTGCTAATTCTAAAGTAAACATTGTTGATACCAGCTGTTAGTAAGGTGATGATTTTAGTGCAACTGATATGTTTCTTATATAAAAATTGTAATTAAAATATTCTTTCAGCAGATTTGATCAAGTAACATAGTATTTTTCATCTGAAAATTTGAACATAGTGTGTACATTTCTGATAAAATATACATGTAAACATATTCTGATAAAATAACTGTTTGTACCTGTATGACCCAACCATGAGGGACTTCAGTGTTTCGGGGGCTGGAAAAGGGGATGATACAAGAATAAGTTGAGTTTTATGCTGGCTTCACCCTGGTGCAAGTCATACTCAGTCATGTCAGAGGTAAGGCTGAAGTGATGCAAGTCAGAGACATTTACCACTTTCATGAGACCAACTAGGGCATGTTCAGACAAACATGGTATATCATCAGTCAAACATGGTATATCATCAGCTAAGCATGATATATCATTAGCTGAACATGGTATATCATCAGTCAAACATTATATATCATTATCCACACCTGGTATATCATCAGTCAAACATGATATATCATCAGTCAAACATGGTATATCAGCCAAAGGGGGATGTCTCATCAGCAAAACATGGCATATTTTCTGCCAAACTTGTCATATCTGAGTCAAAGATGACTTATTAGCCAAACATGACATATCTGAGCCAAACATGACATCATTAGCCAAACATATCTGAGTCAAAGATGACATTATTAGCCAAACTTGACATTATCTGAGCCAAAGGTGACATCATTAGCCAAACATGACACATCTAAGCCAAACATGACATGTTCTGCAAGAATTACCTTCAAAATCCTCATTCTGACTCATGACTGCCTCTACAATGATAACTGTCCTGACTATCTCAAACATCTCATCTCTGCGTATGTACCTCAGCGAAGTCTCCAATCCTCCTCTGGCTCTCTCCTAACCCAACACAGATCTCAAAACCAACTGTCTGACCGAGCCTTCTCCTGTGCCAGCCCTAAACTGTGGAACTGTCTTCCAAAGGAAATCAGGAACACTTCATCGAAAGAAACTTTTAAATCTCTGCTAAAGACCCATCTGTTCACTGCTGCCTTTCTGTAAAGTTATATGAACTATTTCCTTCACCAATATTGTCACAGCACCACTGAGCATCTCTATGGTGGATATTAGGCGCTTTATAAAAACATTATTATTATTATCATTAGCCAAACGTATCTGAGTCAAAGATGCCATTATTAGCCAAACGTATCTGAGTCAAAGATGCCAAGTCAAAGATGCCATTATTAGCCAAAGATGACATCATTAGCCAAACGATCTGAGTCAAAGATGACATCATTAGCCAAACATGACATATCTGAGCCAAACATGACATCATTAGCCAAACATAACATATCTGAGTCAAAGATGACATCATTAGCCAAACATGACATATCTGAGCCAAAGATGACATCATTAGCCAAACGTATCTGAGTCAAAGATGACATCATTAGCCAAACATGACATATCTGAGCCAAAGATGACATCATTAGCCAAACGTATCTGAGTCAAAGATGACATCATTAGCCAAACATGACATATCTGAGCCAAACATGACATCATTAGCCAAACGTATCTGAGTCAAAGATGACATCATTAGCCAAACATGACATATCTGAGCCAAAGATGACATCATTAGCCAAACATGACATATCTGAGCCAAAGATGACATCATTAGCCAAACATGACATCATTAGCCAAACATGACATATCTGAGCCAAACATGACATCATTAGCCAAACATGACACATCTGAGCCAATAGAGCCACTAGAGCCATGTGATTACACACCAGGAAAACATGGCCTTTGAAGTCGCATCATAAAATCTGCAGCTAAGATTGCACTGCTCTATGTGAAAATCTACCGATAGATGAAGGGTCCCCATGAGTTGATGCAGTCATGATGGAACATGTACACACTGGTCAGAACTTTCAGATGATGTCTACTAGCTACCTGTGTTTGGAAGACAAGGAAGTAACACACCCGAGACACCTGTCCTGATGTAGTGGAAGATATGACACCCTTCCTACAAGGCTGGGGCAAATATCAGTGTTCTACATTTTGATTTTGAATGACATGATGTTTTATATCTAGACAAATAATGACTTCATGCTTGAGCCACTGATCAAGTTTGATCACTATCAATATGTCACTAGTTTGTATAAATGGTACAATTATACATTTCATCAATATTGAAGAAAATGATTTTTGAAAATGAAAACAAGGTTCGTACAATTATTTAAAATACAATAAAAACTTCAGATGTTAAGTAACGTGATGTAGCTTTGCCCTTCTCGGCTGGTATTGATTCAGTCCTCTTCAGTCCACATAGTTTGAGAAACACAAGACACTTCAGCTGAGTCAGCACATATACATGTATCGGAAATCTCCCATGGAACATTATGGATTTCACAATTGTGAATTGTCCTTCCTTCTCATTGCAAGTCTGTGAATCTAGTCGAACATGGATAATAACTCTGACTTGTCGAATAGACACTTCTCTCATTCATCAAACACTTAAATTTCAAATACTCTATTCATTTGACATTTTTAAGTAAATTCATACAGTGTTTACAAAGGAACACAGCCACACATGAACAAACCTGGTAATAAGAAACAATGCCTAGACATAAAACATCCATATTTACATTTGTCATAACTTTCCACAATGTAATGAATGGAAGTGTAGTTGCATGAGAGTCATATCTTGAATACTAGTATGTTCCACATTGATAAATTGGATCATGTAGTAATTTTAAGTTGACAAAGTGACCTACTTGATAAAAACTCACAAATCAACATGGACTGTCTATTGCCATAGTGACTGTTTCATGGCAGTAGTTACAGACACAGTAGAGCTTCATCCTCAGCTTTGGGCAACCATAAGTGGTAATGATATTATCTCTAATACATAAGACCAATGTCAAATCTAGATATTTCCAAAAGATACCCCAAATTATGGGATACACGCATACATGTAAGTACTGCACCTTAACTTTTGTCCAAGTGTATAACTATTCATTGATCAACCAGCAACTTGATACACAACTATTTGTTTAAAACATCAATCTCATTAAGATCAGGCCCCGATTTCTCGAAACAAACTTAAGTCTGAGTTTTGACTTAAGTCATTATTTTACTGAAAAAACCGATATTAAACTCAAACTTAGTAGACAATTTGAGTTTGGTGGATAGGTTACTTAAGTTGTTTGGGTTTTTTTATTAAAAATGCAGTTGAGTTAAAACTTCAGCTGTTTAAAATTGTCAAACTCAGTTTGAAATTTGAGTAAAAACTTAAGTTTGTTTCGAGAAATCGGGGCCAGATCTGTTAACTGGAGGATTCCTTTCTGCAAAGGTATTTGTATACACCCTTTCCAGAGAGATATCATATCGATGTAGCGTACCTGATTTCAATGATATTGTTCGGAATTATGATTGTAAGGAGGTTGTGTGGTGGTTTTGGCACAACCCGACCATGCATAATCATGTATAATATATAAATCCATAAATCACAAACATGACAGACTGCAGTAAAACCCTTGCCATAGGGATGGCTTACATTCAGTGTGATTCATATGAACACTCCAAAATGGTAACACCTCAAAAACAGACTCTAAGTAGAAAAGAAAAACACACTTTCAAACAGAACTATATTCTTGAAAAATCTGAAAACATTAATCAAGTCTTACAGGTTGATGAGGAACTGTCCATTTCATTTCTGAAGAAGGCAAAGTAAAATAATGGAAAAAAGGTACATCACCATATCAACTCAAAATTCACTGTCACAGAAAACCATTCTTCTTACATTCATATTAAAACATATTTTGTAAACTGCATGTATTCATAGGATGACCCCAAAATAGTCTTGCATGAACATCCCAGATCCCTACCTCTGAAGATGAAATGTTGGGTCCCGAAATACCAAACCAAAACAACACAAAAGCAAAACACATAATACTAAACAAATAGTATGAAACACAACGATCTGAACAATAAATTCATTGATTGACTAGTGGAGTAAATACGTATAACATGGGAATATATATCTTTACACTGTATCACCAATGCTGTCACAATATACTGTCCATCAAGATGGCGGGATCAGTTACAAGGGAGATAACTGCGCTGACATTTGCAATCTTTGACATTTTTACCATCCATGATGCTATTTCAAAAGTTAGTATGTCTTTTCCATTCATCTTATTTGTGTTCAGTGAGTCAACATTTTCTGGCATGCATAAAGATGTTTATCACACTTTACCCAGTAACACAATCTCTTACAGACCAAAACCTATGGTATTTAGAAAACAGTTACTCCATTCAAGTCTCTTCATCATCTTCTTATCAGGCAGGTATCCATTTCCAATGAGTGGTTGAGTTTAGCAATATTCCAGCAATACAGGGGTTACCACGTTGTACCCATGTGGGGAATCGAACCCGGGTCTTTGGCGTGACAAGTGAATGCTTTAACCACTATGCTAAACAAACCACATCCCTCCTCCTCACACACACACCCCTCCCCCCATTTCCAATGAATACACATGGAAAAGATAAACTAACTTTTGACACTGTTCTTACAAGGGAACATGAAACAATGACAGAAGTTCTGTCGAAAGTAAAGACCGGTATATTTGTCCAACATGGGTGATACATATTGATTATGATATCCAGTATCACCAGACCAGTTGACGACAGTTGGAATCATTGGCCAGTAGAGATAAATCTTGGAGACAGATGCATCTATAGATGCAGTAATGACAACCTAATGACTAACTGTAGGATACTCTGCTTGAAAGACACAATATTTCCCCAGGATGTTGACAAACCTCAACACTGGCTGCTTTGGCAACATCCTTCTCATTAACTTTAATGGCGGACATTTCCATACACATTTTCAGTGTGCACATCTTTTTCAAATTCATGCTTGCATAAACACCCAAAACTACTGAGGTAAGTTCCTAGATCTGCTTGATTGGCATTTTAGAATTTGAATAACAAGATAAGTACGAAACCTTATGGATAACAACTTCTTTATTATATTATGATGCGATGTTTCGGTATAGATTCTAATACCGTTGTCAAGCAAGAATCTACACCGAAATGTCACATCATAACATAGGCTACCCCAATCGCCCACATCATAACATAATATAGAAGTTGTTATCCATAAAGTATCATACCTTTCTTAAGTTCTTAGAAACAGAAAGAATGTAACAACTCCGACTTTGATGTCCAAGATATTTTTATGGATTAAACTTCTTTATAATTTCCCTCATGACGTTTCGAGACCATACCAGGTCCCTTCATCAGGTGAACTTCCCTCATGACGTTTCGAGACCATTCCAGGTCCCTTCATCAGTTCACCTGGAATGGTCTTCAAACGTCGTGAGGGAAGTTATAAAGAAGTTTAATCCATAAAAATATCTTGGACATCAATGTACAACTTCTAAATGCCACTGAAAGACAACTCCTACTTTGTAGAATTGTCCTGAGACATAACACTGCGGCCAAGATCTATCTCTGCTCTAGGGGTCATCAGTTCTGGTCATACTGTTTTCCTCACTACAATACATTGTATAACCAACACAATATAATAAATACCTGAATACATACAGTGAGACTTACAACAATCACATGCTACATGTAGTTCAGCACCATATTTGGACTTGATTGATTTAAGCATATATAAGCCTTCAAAATACATGATAGTTCCATATTATTTCATATACAATAGTATATATAGGTCAACTATACCAACAGCTGCTACTGAGAGAACTGGCTACTGTAAGATATGTAACAGAGGTGCATAACAGAAACAATTACGTATGATTATAGTTATGATTTTTGAGATATATCGATAACTATACTGAAATTAAATATTTGTGTAAATATTGAACTTTCTAATTTAAACAATGCATTTTATGTTCACAGTGCACAAATAATTTAAATATTTTCTACTTGAAAAAATTCACAGCATAAGCAGAAAGCCAACTTATTTACATTTTGACTACAGAACGTAATAAACACACCCAACACATGCTCTGGGTCACAACACAAAATTGCTTACATGAAGTGCAGCAAAATATTCCATAATGGCACACGCAGGCAGTGAAGGTTTTTCACAAATAACAAAAAAATTCAAAACCAAAATGAACTTCTAAAATCAAGAGGAATTTCACAAGAACATTATGAGAAGAAGCTCGTAAAATTATGAATCCATATACCTCTCCAGTCATATCAATACGAGTGCCACTTTCACTCTCAGAACCAAAAAGACATTTGGTCTTTGTTGTGATAAACATAGTTCAAATCAAATTTTAAAAAATAAAAAAATTAAACACATGCTATAAAACAAGAAACACCAAATATTCTATTAAAGTGTAATTTTTTGCATACCTTCACTTTAAAAAAATAATTAGAGGCATCGCTCATGCTGAATCAGACTGAAGATGGCTCCAGCATAACTGGTATTTCATTTATACTATGTTGATTATATTACAGCAGCTAAATAGTTCTTTATCTCTAAATACAAAATAGATGCATGCTTATATCCTACACAATAAAATAATGTCAAATATTTCTCTGAATTACAAGTTTTGCCCTTTCAATGACAATACAAGACACTATCTCCAATCACAGATCCTCGTCAACACTTCATGAGTGTCTTCACTAAGTTCCACCATCACCTGTGAACATGACCACTATGCAGAGTAGTAATTAAGTTTGTAATTAAAGTCAAACACTAATATGATACACTACTTTCGGATTTCAAATAAAATGTCATTGGGCAGACAATTCACTGTACTGGGGAATCAATCTTGTGCCTTGCATAACAATTGAACACTTTAACCACTAGGCTACCGACCAACACAGTTAACATATTCATGGTGATGGGAGAATGTTGCATACAAACCCATGAAGTATTGTAGATGTTTATAAACAGGAACACGCACAACAGAACACAAGCGGGATACGATAAGGCAAAGGGATATTCTTTGGCGAGCAAATACCCTCATGGATATTGAAGCACTATCTGGTAACTTGTTAAAGCTTCAGATACACAGGGAATAATACCAGTTTCAATGACAAAAATAGCATTTCTAGAGAAATGGTTACTGGGAATAAAACAAAAATAATCTTTGTTCTCTTATATTACCTGCTTCAAAAATTATTTCTACAGACTATTTCATTCTTCAATTCTCTTGAAACTGAATATATGTTTGTATTTATACACAAAAGAGGCTGCTAATCTATATTCATCCAAAGTTGGTAAAGTGATCATTTCAACTGACTGACTGAGTTTAGTTTTCGCCGCCTTTAGCAATATTCCAGCAATATCACGGCAGGGGACACCAGAAATGGGCTTAACATCATTTCAAAATTGTCAGCATAATAATTGGGGTTGGTCTACATGAGGTAAAAACATTTTGAATACAGCCTGCTACCATTAATATTTTACATGCTGATTTCTTGATGAAGGAGTAAGAATATACTCCGAAATGTTAAGTTCCTCATAACAAAGAAATTGACATCCATAAATTGTCACATTCTATGTGTATCACTTTTAAATGCCATCAAAGACTTCATGCTCATTTTGTTTCTAACATGCTGATATAGCCTTTAGGCAAGACATTTTGAACATGCTTACTACTCAGCTTGGTTTACTTGTGCCAATTTCTTAAAATACACCCTTATATAAAACAAACAAAGAAATACAGCTAGACATTTGAAAGTAGTCTTCTCCCTTAGACAATTAATAAAGTGTAAATAAATATGTTCTGAATTTTAATAATCAAGCATGGACAAGTCACTGTCACATTAAGATCTGTTTCCAAAATCACTACAAATAAAATATGTAAATATATTTGATAAAGTCATAAATTATAGTCACAACCAAAAGTTAATTAGAAAGAACACGTAAGTACCTTTTCTGTCAGTCTTAGGATAGGTATTAGGCAAACCCATTAATGTCAAACGTTTTTTCTCTGATAAGAGGGGAATCGAACCTGGGTCTTCGCATGACAATTAAATGCTTTAACCACTAGGCCACCCAACAGCCCCTCTTCTTGCAGAGGGGTATCATATCTGAGCATAAAAGATAGAATTTTTAAAAGATTTAGTATCAACAGGTCTAAAGGGAGGTAATTCCAGATCAAAATGAAATATTATGCACACAAAAAATAAGAATGCAGCTATCATTTTCAGGATATTATTTGAACACGGAATCTGACATGAACACTATTGGCAGGCAGGTAACAACAGCAGACACATGCGACACTTTCATAAACTAAACATACTTAAAGAGTATGCAAATTGTAAAGAAGACAATAAAAGCAATGAAAACCTTTAAGTTCTTTTGAAAACTGGTGCTTAATTAAAAGAAATATTATGTAAATATGAAACATTTGGACCTGTGGATTTGTATAATATGAAAGATCTCTGGGTTGATTGTTGTTTCGATGAAATTAAGCAGCAGTTGATAAAAACACAAGCAATTGCAATGACGGGATGTCTGGGAGGCGGTCGTTTCTTCCCGAATTAACGGACTGCGTCCCGTTCACTCTGCCGCGAAGTCTCTGGCAAGGAACACCAGGCGGGAGAGGTCGATCGCTAACAGCTGACTGGAAGAGATATCTGGACTCTCTGCCATGTTTGCCCTTGTTTGCGTGATGATCTATCTGCATGCGTCTTAAGGCATAAAGATGATATTTATTAAATGCAGAATGAGATAAATTAATGCAGTAACTGCAAGCGTGAAGTCGCCTTTGCAGTGATAGAACAACTAGGGCATATTACATGTGGTCGGAGGCAAGAAAAAAGCGTAATCTACAAATCATTACAGGTTTCATGAGCGTAAAAGTAGCTGGAACAATCCGCGAACTGCATTGAATAAACGAGTAGAAATCGATATTAATCAATACAAATAGTAAAGGATACTAGCTATGCCTCTATAAGGTTTAAGGTAAAACTGAAGACAAACAATAGGCCACAAATACTTATTTGTATTTTCTCCAGCCAAAAAATTTAATAGCATTGATGAATAAATGCTAAGAATACACTCTTAAATAAATCTTGGTTTTGAGAAAAATCTATAAAATCAGGTTTTTCTGCCTAGAGAAAAATATCAGGATCAATTTTTGTTCATATTCCTCCTCACATTACAAATAAAAATGGTTTGAGAATACATAAACAAAAAGTACAATTGAACTCTAAATAACAAATCCCTATTATCAGGGAGCAATCCATTTGTTTCGATTCACCTGTTTCCTCTCACCAAATAATATCACCTGGGTAGGAACAAAAAATCACTGTAATACCATGATAGTAAAATATCTTGTAAAAAGATTTCAATAAGATCACTCTGATGAAGGAGGATTAAGATCCTATTACATTCCTGTACACAGCCACAGATGACCTGCACTTCTGTACTACAGGGTTGTTCACTTTCTCCTATTGATTTTATGGTGAGACACTTATTATGCAATGAGACCCAATCTGGCAACCTTGGATGACAAGAATGTATGAAGAACAAACACCATTGGCTTTGGACATGTATTCAAATCCAGTTCCTGTAATAAGAAACATAAAATGGTTGTTAGTCACATTCTGAGACAATGAAAAATACACAAGATATCTTTTGTCTTTGGTTTTCACCAAAATGATATAATATGCAGAAATTGACCTGGTTCTTTAGTTATGTTTAGTTATGATGTAACTGTGTAGATATGATTCATACTTATGCAAAGAGCAAAGAAACAGTTCTGGTTATATTTTTGCTGTGATTATAAAACTCACATTGGCTTAAATCATCTACACTTTCATTCAAAAGACCTGTATAACAATCATTACTAGTGTTGGGCATCGGAAACCAAAACCACTATCGATTATCGGAGGACTTGAGGTGAACGATTATCGATTATAATCGAAAAAATATACATTTTTAATGAAATCACCAATCATATGGATATTTCCCCAGGTTTTTTCTAATTAATATTTTTATAACTAATAAACAATACTGTCATGCAATGAAATGTACACATACAAGAAAGACACGTGAATTACGTTCTTGAGCGCATGTTTGTTCGTGAATATTCTTCAAATTTAATGGTTAGCTTAATTCATTTAGGTGTGTTATACCAAAACAATCAAATTCCCGATTAATTGCAAAATATGTTTTTTTACAATCGATCATCATTTTTAATTCTTATTTTGATCGATTTTCAATTATTTTTGATCATCAGAACACCACTAATCATTACTCTTTAGTACTGACTGCAATATATCACACATGTTACGAGTGAGTGAGTGAGACAGTTATTATACTTTGAGCAGTACATCAGTTATACCATGCCAAATGTTGGAGAAAACAGGGTTTTACATGACGCGGGATTCCTGCGTATTTGACGCAACACGCACTTTATGTGACTGTACAAACAACACAATGAAGACATAGTTGACAGGGTTTAAATGTTAACCCTCAACATGACATTATCTGGATACCTGTTCTCCATCTTCACCCAAGTCCAGCCACAGCAGTCGGTGCCCATCATCAGCAGACATCCTCAGTCTCTCAAACGGGTAGTTCCACAGGATGGTTGATTGGATTTCATCGCTTCCCTTGTCCTCTATCAATGTGAAGCCTGTGTCAAAGTTCAGGCACAACTTTGCTTTCTTTCCTTGCCATGTCACAGCTGAAATATCAGTGAGTTGAGCTGAGCTGTGGTGAGGAATCTGAGTGTCTGAGTGTTGGTTTTGAGCTTTTAGCAATATTCCAGCAACATCACGGAGGGGACACCAGAAATGGGCTTCACACATTGTACCCATGTAGGGATTCAAACCCGGTCCTCGGCGTGACGAGGCTTTAACCACTAGGCTATGGCTGTGGTGAGGAATCTAGTCGAGTTGAGGTCATGTATGGCAAGGTGAGGTTATATGTGGTGAAGCAAAGCTAAGTGATGCAAGGCGAGACAATTTGAGTTTAGCTAGGGTGAGGAATGGCAAGCTGAGTTGGTGTAACGCTGCATTCAAGATGATTGCTCTCTCTCTCTCAGACTTAAACATTTGCAGCATGTGCAAAGAGAATGGGGAGATAACTTCTGCTTTCCTTTGGTGTTCTCTTCAAGTTGGATTCTGTGGAACATGCATCTGTGTGCATCATCGTATGGCAATGTCCCAGAGCCTCACTTCAGTTTGTGTGCATGCGTGAGTGTGTGCATCTGTCTGTCACTGTGTGTATCTATGTGTGGAAGCATGCCTTCACATGTGCCTGTACTAGTCAGGTAACAGATTCAACTCTGAACAGGGAACTAGGTCACCTTATCCAAAATGACGACCTTAGTCCTCCATGAAAGATAAAGACACAACAAGGCTAAAAAAAACCCATATGATTAAATACATCACAACTTCTTGACTGAACTTATGTTGCAAAAAGAGACATTAAATTGGTTTGTCAGATTTAACAATGTCTTCCTGGCACTACTCACGACAAGTGACTTCCTTCACGAGGACAGCAGCTCCGTGGGAGCCCTGCACCAGAGCACGGGACCAGAATGCCAAGTCTCGCTGTGTCTCCACACGGAAGATGTGTGTTTCCACGCCATTCCTTGTCCCAGAACGGGTGCCAAACGTCAGGACATCGTCCCCGGTGATGAGATTGCTCTGCCTCCCTGAGTGTACCAACCTGCAGGGTCAAGAGATCTGACAAATCTAACAAACCATCATTGTAAATCTGAAACTGATATCACATCAGTTACTCAGTTTGGGAAAGACGTGAGTGAATGAGTAAGTGAGTGAGTGAGTGAGCTAACATTTAAAGTCAAATCGGCAGTATTTTAGCCATATCATGACTATGAAAGTGACTATGGCTAAAAAATGATAAAAAGCTGGAGAAATGCGTTACTTTATTAAGTTTTCATCCTGAAAACGCAAAATTGTCAACTTTAACTGTGAATCCTGATGAATGCCAGTGCTAACAATTTGAATCTTATCAAAATTTATCTATTTCACAATCTTTTTCCATAATTTGTTTCTCATAATCAAGCCGAGACATGAACCAAAGCCAGCAACTATTACTGCAACATTTTAATTATTCTATTTTTGTTTGGACTTTGTTTAATCCCTTAGTCCCAATCCACAAAGTGTTTGTAGTTTTACAAGCTACTGCAGCCATATAATTTATCATAGGATTACGAATGACGTAGTGGAACGAGCACTTTGTGGATCGGGCCCCTGGTGCCATATGTTGCTAGCCTGTTGACATTCCGTCTATAACACCATGGTTATGCAGTAATTACCATATTTATGCCAGGAACCATACATTATCCTATCAGGTAGAAGGATGTGTAGTATATCATGTACCTGGTTGCAAATAATGGGTGGCTCTGGAAGGGTGTGACCCACATTCCTTAAAACATTATTCCTGTCAAGTAGAAGGACATATAGAATATCATGTACCTGGTTGCCAGGAGTGGGTGGCTCTGGAAGGGTGTGGCCCACTCCTCCTTGCTCCAGGGTGCAGTGTCATACAGTAGGAGATCCTTGTCCGTCAAAGCTATGAACACTGGCTTCCAGCTAGGGCTTCCCTGCTCATTTGTTAGCTACAAATAGAAGAACTCGCCAGAGTCAGGGAGAGTGTCTCAGGACCCAAAGCGGAACTAATTTGGACACAAAGCAACTGAAATTTCCAACTGGCAGCATATTTTTTCAGTCACCATTTGACTACATTGAAATATCAACAGTGGTATCACTAAATTAAAATAGAAATGTCATTTATAAAAATACAGTTCAACTGAATCAAAATTTCACTTAAAAATTTGAAATCAAACTAGGATTTAAGGTTAAAAAGCACTTCTTGTCCTGTAAAGAAGCGACTAACAGGATCGGGTGGTCAGGCTCGCTGACTTGGTTGACACATGTCATCGGTACCCAACTGTGCAGATCGATGCTCATGCTGTTGATCACTGGATTGTCTGGTCCAGACTTGATTATTTACAGACCGCCCATATAGCTGGAATATTGCTGAGTGCGGCGTGGCGTAAAACTAAACTCACTCACTAACTAATGTGAAGCAACAAACTCTATTTCATGCAAATTATGTGAGTGGTCAGTGTAACATGTAGGGAAGGACATGCGTACCTTTACCACATGCATGCGTAACCTTTTGCGAACACCTGACGTCATCACTGATTTTCAGTAAAACTAAACTCACTCACTCACTCTTGTCCAGTATGTACACAAAGCAAATTATCTCCTTGACAAATAATACAGATGATGAAAGAATATTTTTTAAATTGGACATTTGTGAACTTGTTATTCGGTCCACAATTCTGAACACTGAAAAGAGGTATTAAACCAAAGTGACTGAAGATTCTGGATTTATTGATAAGGTGAAACAGATTTTCAATCCAGAGTATCATTAAATGAACTTTAGAGTCTGCCTCCATACAGATCCTGAACATAAGAGACAAGCTTGGGCTACTTGGTCATGTGGAAAATCTCATCTTGGAGGCTTGATGTGATTATTTACTGGCAACAATGTGAAGAAGGACTGAGAAGAGTGTCAGTACCTCAGGCTAGCAGGATACACTAAACCATAAAAACACACATATGACATTTCCTGCTTTTGATGCACCCATCTTACTTTTGGCAGCCACAATAAAAGTAACTTATTTAGAAATATGTTGTCTATTAATCTCAATCAATCTAAGACATTATTTATAACTGTTTCAAACCTTGATGTATCATGATGTTAGATGTATGTACATGCATCATTCAAGTTCTAAAGTAACAAATTCCAGTATCATCACCTGTTCAGAGAGCCATCCCATATGCATTATCTCCCCTTGGTTTGGTGCTGAAATTGTGATCTGGTTGGCCTCTGCTATGGCTTGTTGGGTTAGCATAGTAACATTAGAATGAATCGCATTAAACCAGTCACTGGCAGTGAGAGGGTCTGAGAATCGGAGAATGCAGGAGCTTTTTCCATCTGGTGAATGCAGTTCCAGAACTTTTTGTTCGAGGTCAGATATACTAAGGTTCCGACAGAGGTAGCACATTTTCAGTGGTATAGTTTTCGTTTCTGACCAGCTGGACGTTTTGACTGTTTCTTTGGGGGGATCTGGATGTGATCCCCATCCAAGTTCATTCAGAGGAGACGATTTCTTGAAATATGGTGTAACTTCTCTTAAATATTTTACTGAAATGAAAGAAATTATAAATGGTAAATAAAGTAAATAGGCTAAAGTTTTTCAAAATAATACTCCATCATATAAATAATTCATATGCTTACTTCTCTAGTGTTTTCTATCGACTAATAAACTACTGTAACAGGGTCAGTGCTGAGCAACAGACAGTATCATGCCATAAATAATCGACACTTGAGACATCGTAGGTTCAACATGGGAACATTGCATTCTGTGCATTTTCCACCATGAATTGATGTGATGTGAAATTTGTCCAACCATATGACAGTGGTGGTCCGATTAATTGAAATAATTGAAGATTGGTCGCAATGACTAAATGGCCAAGCAATCGATAATGTTTTCTCATAATCGAACACAATGAATTTTGGAACACTTGTTTGCGTAAACAACATTTTTCACAAGGTTGGTTTTGTCTGTTACATTTCATAAGCACTACAAGCTCGTTCCTTGTCATGATTGAATTTATCTTAAAGACTCCAGGAAATTTATGTCTCTAACATACTACTCATCCTTTTAACTTAAAGATGTGAAATTTGTAAATGCATTTTGTGCAATTTGCAAAAAAACCCAGGAACTACATGGTTTTTCGATATTTTTTGTGCATTAACAAACATAACCAGGAGAATTTGATAAATGACGCTAATCAATTATTTTCGATGATTGATCAGTTGTAATGAACCAATCATCAATTGTGAGATTTTAACCAATTCCCAACACTACCGTATGATGAAGTCATCAACTATCATTACCATGTGCTTTGTTGTCGACTGCTAACAGCCTTCAATTTCTGCAACTGATTTAATGATGGTCCAGAAAATGTATTGTTGTTGGACAAAAGTGAAGTTATCATAGACCTGCATTTGAACGGTGAATCCTGCTCAGAAATAAGTTTCCTGCTGTATCTACTGAAGTGTGTAGTGCATGGTGTTATTCATTGCCATAACAAGATAGGAAGTCTGGAATATCAGTCACAAACTGGTAGACTGAGGATTCTGAGCAACCTGGAAGTGTGCTGATCAGCAACATTTTAATCAAAACTGGCTTTGTTTCCCAGATGGACTGCTCAGCATCAATTATATCAGATAGGATATCACAAAAGGCTTGTTTGCAATCAGAATTAGAAAGGTCAACAGGAAAAGATGTGTTTTGTCATGCCAACTGAAACAGAGATCACCAATACTCAAATTCTATGACCAGGTAGTGTTTAGTGATGAATCAAAGATGGAACTGGAGAAAATGGAACTGATAACTGTACTTATGATTAGGAAGGAGAAGATTGTATCTAGGAAGTCTCAGTCCGCCCCCTGGAAAGTGTAATGTTTAATGTTTCAGAGTGTAGGGACAATGACGTTCCTGGAAGGGAGAGTAAATGCCCACAAATATCAAGCAGTGTTGGAGGAAAGTTTGTGGTCAGTGGTTGTTCGACACTTTCATCATGTTCATGACAATTCTTTCATCTTTCAAGATGGCAATGCTCCCTTTCATGAGCGCAGTCTGTGCTAGATTATAACTTGACAAGCACATTCAGTCACTCATGTGGCCTTCACAGTATCCAAAGAGAGTTCAAATCATGTGTTCATATCATCAATACTTTGTAAGGAGAGATACATGACATATCAGAATCTTTGACAGTTGACAGTCAACAACTTATACTGGAACATTCCTCACAGGATTTTGAGAGTATGATGCACTGGCTCCCCATCAAGGCAAGAAGCGACTACAAAATCCTCTGCTTGACCTACATGGCCCGTCATGGACTTGCTCCCCCATATCTCTCTGACCTGCTTACTCCTTACTCAAACAAGCGCTGCCTTCGATCATCCAATCAGGAGTTTCTGTTCGTGCCAAACTTCAAGCTTAAAACTTTTGGAAACAGGACTTTTTCATATGCAGCCCCAACCTTGTGGAATTCACTCCCATACAAACTGAAAGTTTCTGATAGTATTGCCACATTCAAGTCAGGACTCAAAACATACCTGTTTTCAATGTATTATTAGGAACTCTATTTTGGACATGTACATATTGCTGTATAAATGTGGGAGACTCTTTTAATCTGTCATTGTTGCGCCTTGAGCATATCTGCTGACGTGGAAAAGGCGCATGAAGAAATCTGCATTTTATTATTATTATTATTACACTTCCAAGGGCTACATGACCAAATGTTAGGCAGGTCAGGGTTATATTTTGTCTCTGGAAAAGAAATAAATGTGTAACAAATTACACATCTGGGTTCCTGTAAAACACCCATTAAACATATGGCACAGTACAGTATATAGAACACATCAAAAGGTCTCTCCATCAATCAATTTTGTAAAAAGTGACTGCGAAACGTGGCTGTGCACAGTTTTATGTTCAAACCTGACATTCACTTGCAACTAATACAAACATAATAGCGACCTCTGGAAGCAGGATTGTGAAAGCGGGCGAGTAACAAGCTAAAGATTTCGCAGTTCGACTAAAGGACAAATCTTGATATTTCATCGACACATAAAGGGCAGATAATCCTCTTAAGACATAACCTCGTAAACATCACTACATGCATTCCGAACCCTGGCAAGCATTGTACACCAAACACGACGAATGCCACACTATTCTGCAGTATCGTCGAAGTTAAGAAGCTGAAGTTACACATATAAAATATATCCAAACCTTCCATTTCTACTATTTTGCCGGCTCGTTTCAAAGCCCTGACAGCTTCGTCATGGGTTGCCTCCTTCAAGTCTTCCCCGTTCACCGACAGAATGGCGTCCCCAACATACAGTTTCTCCGTTTTGTCGGCTGCCATTCCTTTGAAAATCTTGCTAATAAGAATTGGCATTTTGTTTTCCTTTCCGCCCTTGATGCTGATTCCCAATCCATTCGTTTCTTCTTTAATTACTTTCACAAATCGCTTCTGACCGGCGATAGACTCGGGCATTTCGGGGCTGCCATTTGCAAGACCCTGGCGACTGTCGGGCGCACCATTGATTGCACCCGCTTGTTCTGGGTTTTCTGTAAGTGTAAGGGTTAATGACTCTTCATTTAGAGTCACATCCACCCCACACCACTGTTGTCTTATGTAGACTTCGAAAGTTCCTGACCTGGCTATTCCAGCCGCCATCTTGACCTCCCTGTCTACACGGATCACGTGACCGGGGAGCAATCAGTGCTTGAAGTTACGTTAGCAGGTGCGTGGCTCAAGAGTAACGGTGCTTTTCAGTAATTGCATTTGGCCATATATTACCACAACATCTGCGAGCAATGTAAACATTCCGCACTCTCTCACTACTCCCGTCTGCTATTGTGAGCTGTACTGTTATGTACATATATTTACGCAATACTCGCCCTGCTTACAGAATCACAATAATTTTATTTAATCCTACAATAACCGGAATATCAGCAACGTAATGGCAATAATGATGATGATAATAATAATAGTTTAAGCGTGTAGGTAATTAAGATATAATCAATCCCCAGTTATAATTATGAAAATTATTTCTTGCTTATGGTTAAAAATTATATCTATGTATAGATATCAAGCTAAGCTGGTAGCATACTATGGCAATTAAGGTATACTATATTGTTCTGAAGGTATAAGAAATGTGGTACACCTGGCTGTAGTTTTGTTGTTGTTTTTTATTGGTTTGTTTGTTTGTTTTTGTTGGTTGTTTGTTGTTGGTTTTTTTGGTGTTTTTTTAAAATTTTTGGGTATTTTTTTAATTATTTTTTTTTGGGGGGTGGGGTGCGCCGGTTTAATTAGAGACTTCGGGAAATCTATGTTAATTACGTATCCTACAGATTCTTAACATACCCGTTAGAAGTAAGTCTCTTTATCATTTTATAAAGGCATGTGTGTATCAATTTCAGTTTTATTGAGAATGTATATTTTTAATAGGGGTGCATACATTTAACGCACCAGGACAGCATTGAAGCACTTACGACTGTCATCTAGTATCTGAGAAAGTTAACAAGGCAGTTAGTGTACAACGACTGTCTCATGAGTGTAGACCTGTTATCTTCACTGTCTGTGCTGCATGTCAGGTCGGGCCACACAGGGGTTATCACACCTCTCCCCGGCCGCCTCCACGTGACTGCTGGCAAGTTATGTCGACTTGAGAGGCTAGTAGCTGATTTTCCAGTACGCGCTAGCTCCGATACAGTATTAGGGTCTGTGATTCAGAGTTCGATTATATGTATCAATCAAATTTGACTTGATGATATATGTATAAATTTATACATGCCCAAGTGCGTTTCCATTTTGGACACAGTTTATACTATAGCAATATGAATTCTGTTCGTACTGCCCAGTTCTTCTAATATGTTTTAAATACCTGTGTAGATCCGGGCTAGAATTGGTCTTCAGCATCCTATACATGACTCTATATATCAAGACTGACTGACTGAGTTTGGTTTTACGCCGCTTTTAGCAATATTCCAGCAATATCACGGCGGGGGACACCAGAAATGGGCTTCACTCATTGTACCCATGTAGGGATTCGAACCGGGTCTTCGGCATGACGAGCCAACGCTTTAACCACTAGACTACCCCATCGCCCCCATATATATCAAGTTTGAAGGTTTTAATCTTCTCGAACCTCGTGTTGATATATTTGATATTTACATATCCTCCGAGTGATTCTCTATGTACTGATATGACCGATAACACGTCCCCTTTCTAGCCCCTGTTGCGGCGGTGGGGTAGCCCAGTGGTTAAAGGGTTCGCTCGTCAAGCCGAAGACCCGGTTTCGATCCCAACATGGGTACAATGTATGGAGCCCATTTTCTGGCGCGCCCCACCGTGATATTGCTGGAGTATTGCTAAAAGCGGCGTAAAACTAAACTCACTCACTAACCCCTGTTACACAAGGAGGAAGTAAACGGTAGCATATCTGTGACTGCAGATAACGTAACATCTTCAGATATCATTGATGATAACAAGGATGCAATTCTGGACCTGATATTCAGCCTCTCCTGTCATAGAGACATGCTGCTACACCTGGCTGGAGAAACTGGTTCGTACAACAGGTTCATACAACAGGTTCATACAACAGGTTCACTCTTAATATATTAACTGGGTGCGAGTGAGTGGTGTTTGACGCCGCAATCTGCAATTTTACAGATAATTTTTTCTTCTTCTATGAGTTTCGTGCCATAGAACGAGTAGTAGGACCGGCGTGCATTCTGTTTCTTTCTGATACGGGCGGCGGGGTAGCCTAGAAGTTAAAGCATTCGCTCGTCACGCCGAAGACCCGGGTTTGATTCCCCACATGGGTACTATGTGTGAAGCCCATTTCTGGTGTCCCCCGCCGTGACATTCCTGGAATATTGCTAATAGCGGCGTAAAACCATACTCACTCACTATTTCTGGTACATTTGCATCTCGCTATCTTACCGATTCCCAAATTGTACATTTGCAGGTATCGATGATTGTTAAGTGAAGGAGAAATCATTACATGCTGAAAACCCACAGTCAAATACCGTTGTGTCGAACTGTGAAGTGTCGAACGTTCGCTAGTTTTGATGTATAAGATTGTTTCTGCGTATTCCCGATGTAATCATCGTTTTGCGGTAGCGAAACTCTAAGCATTTGCAAATGTCCCTACATCCTCGACACAGCCATGTTTAACTATATTAATATCACTGTACTGCAAGGGCACTCTCTTAGATATGGATATGGATATGAATATATGATTCCAAGAATATCCAGCTACTCGAGGGGAACACAAAATGGATCGGTTACAGGCTCGATGACTGCGTGTTATTGTACTTGCTCATAATATCAGTCACTGGTTTGTCTGGCCCAGATATGATCATATACAAGAGACACCAAACAGTGGAATATTGCTGAATGCAGTGTTTAACACATACTCAAAATAAACCAGGTTACAGGTACAAATATATACTTATCAAACACGTTAACGACCACAAAGTTCTTTCCTAATGCTACAGTTAATTGTTCTGCTATAGAAGGTTAACACGATTAAAATCAAATCCTAATGTCCGTAACTACTTTTGAGTGGTATAAGATATGCAAGATATTCCCGTGGCCTGGAATACATAGACTGAATGGGCGAGGGTGTGGGCGATGTCTTTATGTTTTTAAAAGAATTTCGTGATCGAGCGGTAAATATGCTTCATCAGGAATGGCATTTCACTCTAGAAAGCAGCTCTCGTTACGAATTATATAGAACATTTAAAAACCTATTACAACCTGAACTGTATTTATCTAAACTTACTTTTAAGTGTAACAGAAATATATTTGTCATATATAGGACGGGTTTGTTGGACTTAATGGTAAATAGAGGCAGAAAACTGTCCATCCCAAAATCTGAAAGATCTTGTCCTTTATGTAATTCTTCAGTAGAAGATGAACTACATTTTACCCTTGACTGTCCATTTTATGAAGATTTACGTTACATGTATATCCCAGAACGTTATCTGTCGGAACCACCACTGATAGCTTTTACCAGTTTATTAACAACTAATAATGAATCCGCCCTACCCAATCTAGCTCTCTATGTTAAATATGCATTTATTCGTCGTAACGAGCACTTACAGTTAACCATGTCCTAATGTATGTAACTCGCTTGTATAAGGGCCGGTGGCCTAAAATACAATAAACGATTGTCTTGTCTTGTCTTGTCATAGACTGAATGTCCCCATGTATAAATACCTGTATATTTGTTAAAGGGCTACTGAAAGAAGTGTCTTGTTTGGGTAAACGTCTTGGTTGATTGATCAGTATAGAGACCAGAGGATTGTAGGGACCGTATATAGAAAACACCGAAATAGCCATGAATCGTTTAGAATCATTTGCATTTATAAGCATGTCGAATTTAATAAACGATGGAAACGTTAATCATTATCTGCATGCCTGTTTGAGAAATTCATTACTGAACGGATCGATGTACAAACGAAACAAATACACCTGGATCTGTGGATTATTTATATCGTTTTGATTATGACTTACAAATGTCTTTATATCTCTTGTATAAAATGACTTCATGCCTTGTTCATTCTAATAACATCAGATGACACATGGCGGCGGTTTTCAGCACCGGATTCACGACACAAGTTACAATATGGCTTCCTGTTAGTGCTTGGAGAGTGATGGCCTTGAACTTGGTGGGATCTCTGGTGAGTTTCAACCTTCTCTCTCTGTTAGGTCACACTGAACTTTGAAGGTCTGGACGCTATCCTTACAAATGGATTATACGACTGTCTTAGTCAATCCAGGTATTGTTATATGTATCCATCGCGAATTTAATTTGATTAATTATTAGCAACACCATGAGAAGCTAATTAAAAAAATGTTGCCACTTATTTGACCCCCAACCCGTTTAATGTATCAACAAAGCGTAACATTTGTCCCACCTGTGATCTTATGATATACTGTACAACTGTGGCCTCCGATAACGTGTTGTTCTTGTTCAGTTATATGAACCTCCAAATGATGTTTGAAACCACAATTCCTTTATGAAACGTGGAAAGTGTCTCATTTGAACACCTGAATGTTTTCTTTACAAGTGACATACAAACATCCATCCTTGTCCTCAAACACACCCTGTGGTGCATCCAGCCCATTAGCTGACGTCAGAACGTCTCTGACATACTCCCCAGCTTCTGTCAGAAGCATCACCTTGTGGACGTCCCTGTCGACAAGGAGAACTCCTCCTTTGTGGCTGGACGTAACCCCTCGGGGCACACTTACAACTGTATCTCCCTGGAGGATGTACTTGAAGAGTAATTCCCCATGATGTGATAAACACAGGAGAGACTTGGTTACGTTGTCAGACACCAGAACCTTTCCGCTTCGTGTCACGTGTACATATTCGGGATATTGCAAGAAGCTGTTCGACACAGATGTGATCACTGCACCTTTCTGGTTCAGAATGTCTATACATGATGACACGCCATCACACACACCTGCTGCTATCACCCCACATGTCATACAGCTCACTCCCCAGTAACGACGCATCGTCCGTATGACCTTGATGACGCAAAGGTCAGGATATACTGACGCTACGCGAAGATGTCTTTTCCACGGGAGACTCACTAGAACCAGGTTGTCTCCGAACTCTGTTATTCCAAACGGACTCGCTTCTAACTTTAACATGTTCTGCACTGGTTGGTCGTGAAGTGTGTAAAATTCTTTAATACTCTTGTTGGTCCAGTCAGTTACAACAACAACGTTAACTCCTCTCACAGACATTACAACAATGTCCTTAACTATAGGAATGGTAGTGTCAAGGTTGGACTTTACATTTAACCTTTGATGTAAAGACAGACGAACCGTATGATAATTAATGGTTTCTTCTTGGGCTGAGTTAATGCTTCCGAGGGTGACATTGTTCAGAGCTCCCGTGAATCTTTCCAAATGAACTTCAAAATTATTATCAGCAACCCCCGTAATGTCGAGTTGTTTGAGTGTTTGAGAGTCCGACTTACCTGCTTGATATAAAACAAACGCTCTCCTTTTAGAGTTTGACTCCAAAACATTGTCTATTTGATGAACATGTTTTTCCCGCATTTTGACTGAGAGTTCACGTGATTTCAAGTCTTCTTGTATTTTGTCAATCTCACTGGTCTTGATTTTGTTTACCTCTTCGAGCAGTTTCTTCTCCTTGGCTCGTATCTTCTCCACCTCTGTCTGACTTCTCACGACAATCTCGGCCACAACTTCTTCAGTTCTGTCGGACAGTTCTTTCGTCTGTAATTTACGTTTTTCAATGATATCCATTTTGAACGCTATTTCTTTCTCTAGATCCAGTTTGGTGGTCATCAGACTTGCCTTGACCTCGGGTAAAACATCGCTAATGACTGCAATGCCTTTACATGATCTGTGGTCAACGTTGCAGCAGATGTGACAGATTGCTTTATCACAATCTCGGCAGAACATTTTGACTTCTTCGTCGTGGCATTCACATATGAAACTAGATGATTTCACTCTGGTTGCGATATTCTTCACATCATGGCTCTGGGACATTGCATTACGACGATGCACGCGGATGCATCTTACACAGAATCCAGATTCACAGGAAGAACACCAAAGAGAAGCCGGAATTATCTCCCCGTTCTCTTTGCACACGCTGCAAATGTTAGAGTCTGAAACAGGAATGAAAAACGCAAAACAACGAAGCCTCTGACATATTGAACAAATGTACATTATGCATCGTGATTGTTATAATGATTATTAAAACATGCATGCATATTCATGAGCCTACTGATATACATTTTGATATAAAAAAATAATACCTTTGCATTCTGAGGCAAAATCGTCCATCAGACTCTGTATGACGTGGCTTGGTTTCAGCTGACTGACCCACTCCTCCACTGGACTGCCAGGGTTGGTCACCTTTGTCTGTTGTCTACAAGAGGGACATAGGATGGACTTGGCTTGTATTGCTTCAGACTGTGTTTTGGTGTATTTCAGCAGACAGGACTTGCAGAATGTGTGATTACACTGAAGTGTGGCAGGGTCTGTGAACACCTCTGTACAGATGGCACAGGTCAGATAGTTGTCTGTCAGCTTCTTTGCAGTCGCCATCTGAAACAGGAGAGAAGATGCCATTCCCCCAAACAAATGAAGACATTATAAAATATTTGTTCTTGACCATTAGACACAGGTATGGACGCCGCACAGGAGTAATATATGGTGTACACTCATGGTGTAACAGTTTCAAATGTCTCGGACGAAACATGTATGGTTGACGTAGTATGATTGCTACATGTTCTTGTAGTTATGCAAATAAGGTCACCTACAAGAAAATACCGTACATCGATGCAATGAGTACTTCCTCAATTATTGTCTTAGAAAGGGTTAAACAGGTCCTCGGTTGTCGAAATATGCGCTTTCTTTTCTTTATTTTGTGTTGGGTCCCAGTTTCAAATATGTATGGTTCAAAGAAAAATTGTGTTGTCGAAAGAAGCGGCAGTTTGGTCTTAATTGGTTTATCAATGACAGCTGAATAGTCTTTAGTCAGGCCCTGCAGCTTCTGAAGTTTCTGTAGGCAAAACTGAAGGTAGCCTAAACAACGAGAGTTCTATGGATATACATCTTCTTAGTTGTAGCTACACCGAAACGTCGCTAGTATTAATAATAAAGAAGTTGTATATCCATGGAACTCTCCTCGTTGTTCATCACACCAACTTCTAAATACCGCTCAAAGAAGTTAAAGGTAAAATGTCGGAGTTATGTTGCTGTGTGAAACCCGTTTTCGGTATCTCCGACTATCTGTTTGACAATGATAATTATCCCGTAATTTGACCACATGTCCTATGGTTAACTATTAGGAATCTATGTCACCGACAGACAAAGATCGAAGATTGGTGCCATATAAACGACCAAACAATCGATCGTGTGTTTCTCTTCACAAACTTTTGGCACCTTGTTTGCATTAACAATATTTTTTCACAAGATTTTTTGTCTGTTACATTCATACACAAGCTCGATGATGGCAGTAAAAAGGATATCGTTCCAAACATATATTTCAGTAAATCATCGTGATTTGCAAAAAACCGAACTACATGTTTTTCTATATTTTTGTGCATTAACAAACATAATGGAATTTGATAAATGATGCTAACCAATTTTTCGATGATTGATCGGTTGAATGAACCAATCATCAATTGTGAGATTTTAACCAATTCCCATCACTAATGCTCACCATAGGTTCAACACAACTTTGTATATTTTATTAGTATGAATATTTATGATACGTGCTCAGCTGGTAATGTCTGGATGTGGTGTGGTGCCTCATCGCTATGTGTGGTTGGAACACAGATTGGCTGATAATGAAAACAGAAACATAAACATGGGGATACTAAAATGGTCTGATTCCCCAACAGGAACTGGTGGTTAACAGAAAACTCTGACCAAGGAAGTGTCGTACACACTGATTATCAAGGGCAATATTTTTTATGATTATGGAATGGTTTAGTAACCGAAGTGGTATTTTTGAGAACATTTGGAATACAGTCCAACCCAGACTGAACAATTTTCATAATACCTATGGTGGCATATATCTTACACTCAACAAATCATCGATCAACTATGAGGATGACGCATTTTTGAATACAAACTAACTGGAAGTCTTTCAGCTGTGGACGAAGATAGGTTATCCGCTACAACAATGGGTCGTCGTGACGTCGTCAATATAGATCATGATGTAAGCGATATAAATGTGAATTACAATATGCATTGCACATATAATGATTAACATATTCACATAACTATCACCAATACTATTCGTTAAGCCCATTTGAGGGTGTTCAATAGGTAATTGACCGCCTCCGTGGTGTAGTGGTTAGAGCGTCCGCCCTGAGAGCGGAAGGTCGCGGGTTCGATCCCCGACCGCGTCATACCAAAAGACGTTAAAATATGGTACTTGTTGGTCCCTGCCTGGCGCTCGGCATTAATGGGTACAACAAGGACTGGTCGGCTCGGAGTCAGTATAATGTGTCTGAGTGGGGTATTCATGCTTCACTGCGGCATGGTATCTCAGTGGACTAGCACTATAAAACCAGCTTAAGTCTGGGCTACTACAAGCAGCCGCACATACACATACACACGCATGCACGTAGTCATATGAGCGAAATATTCTCAAGCACGACGTAAAACCCAATTTCACCTCACCTCACCTCAATAGGTAATTAAGTGACACTGATCAAAAGGTTTAAATTACTCACAGTGTTACTTGTACATGGCGGGTGTCTGTCTGGCAGTTGGTGTTATCACCGGTACAAAGAGCATTACGACATTATTTGACGTATGCTTCAGCTAACGTGTTGTAATTCAGACTTCTCTTACAGCGTTACGCCCCTTTATCGCAGTCACCGCTGATAAGCATTTTTTCTCGGTATCTTATCCGTGCATGTGGGTTTCATTATGGGTTCATACAAACATACTTTTGATACAAACGGAGGTCCAAAAGCAAGTTCGGAGCTTGATTTTTCCCGTTTAATTGCACGTTGAAAGAACTGCTTTAAATTTGATTAAATATATCTAAAATCACCCATTTCTGCAACAGTTTGTAAAATGTAACCCTTGTCTGAGTATATTCGTGTAAAACAAACTGGTTCAGTAAAGTGAGTGGGTGAGTGAGTGAGTTGAGCTTTACGCCGCACTCAGCAATATTCCAGCTATATGGCGGCGGTCTGTAAATAATCGAGTCTGGACCAGACAATCCAGTGATCAACAGCATGAGCATCGATCTGCGCAATTGGTAACCAATGACATGTGTCAACCAAGTCAGCGAGCCTGACCACACGATCCCGTTAGTCGCCTTTTACGACAAGCAGTCGCCTTTTATGACAAGAATGGGTTGCTGAAGACCTATTCTACCCCGGATCTTCACGGGTCGGTTCAGTAAAGACTCGGGTAAGAACTATGCAAGCACACGCCTCTTACCATGTTTGAAATGTTGCATATTTGTGCCGAAAACTTCAAATTTATTGATATTTAAATAACAATTACTAAAAATAGCAATCAACGTCTGTGTATCATTTCAATTTTAAAAATAACAGATGAAATGAATATGTGATACCCCAAACAATCACATGCTTATCATTTGTTGCAGTTCTCAATTCTGGCTATTTTCTTTGTCCTGTCTCTCTTACAGGTGGACCGCGGTGGGGTAGCGTAGTGGTTAACGCGTTCGCTCGTCACGCCGAAGACCCGGGTTCGATTCCCCACATGGCTTTGTGAAGCCCATTTCTGGTGTCCCCGCCGTGATATTGCTTGAATATTGCTAAATATTGCGGCGTAAAACCAAACTCACTCACTCACAGGCGTTCAGGATACGCTTACCGCCTCGTCAGTAAGTGGAACGATTATATAATGGGGCTTCATATACAAGTGATTAATATATTCGTGTGGGTACGATTATGTCGTTTTTTTAAAAAAACACACTAACGGTTGATATGTTAGGTTTTAGGGACACTGTCGCGTTGTCGCACTTTTTGCTTTTTTTCTGTCAGGGCGTTTTCATTCCTGCCTACTTTCGACAGACACAGGCCAACATGTACTGTTGTAAGGGAAATATTGGTGAAAGCTGCGTTAACCCGAAATCAACGACTTCCTCTTTATGTCACAAATCTATATTCGACATACCTACGTGTTCACACAAAACGTTCAACGAATGCAAACTTGTATGGAATCCCAAAAGGGACACTGTCTCGTTGTCACAATTCTTAACGCATGGAATGAGTAGCAAACTTAACCAAAACGCGACCATGCTACAATGCTACAACGCGAAATTTTTCTATTTGTGGCATTGTTTCATTTCGAATAATACCATGCGACACTGCTGAACGTCGCCCGATTGTCGCCCTATGTGAAATGTGTTAAGGAGGCGAAACAACGAAACATTTCTATTATATCGCACTCTGTCGCTGTCACATTTCGGATGGGGTAACAATGCGACAATGTTCCTTCTGGAATTCCATAGATTTGAAATGTTGACGAAGTTATATGTTACATGTTTATCACCACAGATGATCATTTGAATGTGTCAAATTATGTTGATGACACAATATACAGATAAAACTGCGGTGCTTCCATTACGCCACGGAAATTTACTTAGCTTGGAGAATACTGGTTAGAACTGGTTCCATGCGCACGATGCCGGTTCAGAGGAGAACGAGTAGATCGGGTGACCAAACTCCAGTGACCCATTTGTCAGCATTAGAAACTGTTCATGCTTAAAATAGCGATAAGATATGAACCAGACAGTCCCTAAGCATTTTGATTCATTTTCATTTCATTTTCTGTCAATCTGTCTCATTGTATCTTCTGTCTAGAAAAAAAAAAAAAATGCTTCTTAAAGTTTTGAAATGACGCGTTGTTTCCTTAATGCTTGTTCTATATATTTGTGTCCGTCCGTGAAGATACGAGTAAAAATTTATTCACCATCAGTAGCCGTAAGTGAAAACGTCCTCTTTCACAGGTCCTGGTTACAAGGGAGACAACTCCTCCACCATTACTAACACACTGGATGCCATTTTCACTTGGTTGTGGCGTCTAAACGTCTACATAATGATCACTTTAAAGTCAATGTCCTACCGACATAAATGAGACTAATTTCACCGTTAGGACTCACACGTGAAATAGGAACTGACGCAGGCCAGTTTGATAAGCGCGGTCATTATCACCACAGCACAGCTGTATATGTGTATCAGATTGCGTCAAAGTCTAAACTGACAACCGAGCACAATCCGTAATCTCTTTAAATAGGGGACACTCAATTTTCGATTCATCATGCATTTGTCTTTCTCGTTCTTTTATTCATAAAATTTTCACTATTATTTCGTCTTTATGCTCTGGGGGCGGGTAGCCTTATGGTTATTTAAAGCGTTCTCACGTCACGCCGAAGATCCGGATTCGATTCCCCTACATCAGCACAGTGTCTGAAGTCCATTTCATTTTCAGTTTTTTAACGCGTAACAAAATTTTGGACAACATTTAGCAGTGTCTATTTCTCAAACCGCCGAGGTAATTGCACTTATATTTATACCAACGAATAGGAAATTAAATATTCTACATTTCTGTGTAATTTTATAGCCGTACGCAGATCAAGGACCCAAGAGCGCAATTCTCGCACAACGTTCACTTTTCAAACCTTTTGAAAATGTGCACCTGAAAAAAACCTCGGCATCTAGTGCCGCCAGTACAGGGCTACGCCTGGCTGGGCAGGTGGTGTAAATATAGAGCGCTACGACTGGCGTAACTTTAACTACGTCTAATATGTGCATACCGGTTTACGTTACGTCCGGGCGCACATTTTACTTACGCCCGGACTATAATTTACGCCCGACATATGCATACGGCCACTGGTGTCCCCTGCCGTGATATTGCTGGAATATCGCATAAAGCGGCGTAAAACGAAACTCATAACTATTCGTATGCTACTCGTATCCTACCCCGCTGGTGGCACCTTTCCAGAACACATGCAAATGCTATTTCGCACCTGCAAACATAGGTACATCATTATGGTACAGGTAAAAATAATTAAAATTCTGTTTTACTAAAGACACCTCGCATTTATACAGCTAAACAGCTAAAGCTGACTAGCGCCATGTTTTGGGACAAAGTAATCGTGAGGATTTCGTTCTAGAATACCACTATCAGATGATTTAACTGTGAAAGATAATGATATTTTGGGTACGTGCGCTGGTATATGTTTTGCAACATCTGCAGTTTAGAATATTCAAGCTGGATCAGACCAGTGACTGACAGCAAGAGCAACGTCATCGGGAACATGACGTCATCAAGCACGTCACCAAGTGTGACGTCCTGTGGAATCATATTCCTTACATCTCCACGGACCTTCGGTTCGGTTCCAGCCTGTTATCGTATGTTTATCTGAACAACATCCTCGATTATCTCCAGGGTATACGTTCCGATAAATCTCCACTATTACTAGATGAGATTACTAGTGGAGATTTATCGTAACGTATACCCTGGAGATTATCGAGCATGGATGAACAATGGTAAGAGTCGATCTTCAGCAACCCATGCTTGCCGTAAGAAGCGACTAACGGTATCTGGTGGCAGGCTCGTTGACACATGTCATTGTATCCCAATTGCGTTGATCGATGCTCATGATGTTGATCACTGGATTGTCTGGTCGATTATTTACAGACCGCCGCTATATAGCTGGAATATTGTTGAGTGTGGCGTACAACTCATTCAGATGAACAATATGTGCAAGATTCCCAGGACATCCTTACGCCCCCGAGAAACCCACCACTGACTAAATATATATGTAGTAAAATGTATAATATACACCCACCTTGCTAGTTCACCTGTTTAACAGACGAGCGTGGCGATGCACTGTATACTGACCGGGCGTTGTATGACCCATGTGACCGTATTACGTTTCGGAGGACTGTAATCAATATACCGGTAATACAAACAAAGTACACATGTCAGATCAGGTATCTTCCTTCGACTCATTCGAGATCCCATTATCAAATACTTTATTTCAGTAGATAATGCGTTGTAAGTGATATTTGACTCGTGAAGGTCCGGGTTAGAATATTGATCTTCAGTAACCCATGCTTGTCGTAAGAGGCGACTAACGGGATCGGGTGGTCAGGCTCGCTGACTTGGTTGACACATGTCATTGGTTCCCAGTTGCGCAGATCGATGCTCTTGCTGTTGATCACTGAATTGTCTGGTCCAGACTCGATTATTTACAGACCGCCGCCATATAGCTGGAATATTGCTGAATGCGGCGTAAAGCTAAACTCACTGTAAGTGATTTTGAACAAACTTGCATTTTCAAATTTTCAGAATACTTGTCAAGATGAAACACATCGTTATTCTGGTTACACGCTGATTACTAGTATGACAAGGGTATTGGTTATTGCCATGATTCGTGATAACCTAGACCCGTGAAGATAGTCAGAGTTGGTCTTCAGCAACTAATGCTTGTGATACGCGACAAACGGGATCGGGTGGTCAGCGTGTCATAGTATCCCAAATGCCTAGATTGATGCTCGCACTGTTGATCACGGGATTGTCTGGTCCAGACTCGATTATTTACAGACCGCCTCCATATAGCTGGAATATTGCTGAATGCGGCGTAAAGCTAAACTCACTCACTCACTGTAAGTGATTTTGAACAAACTTGCATTTTCAAATTTTCAGAATACTTGTCAAGATGAAACACATCGTTATTCTGGTTACACGCTGATTACTAGTATGACAAGGGTATTGGTTATAGACCATGATTCGTGATAACCTAGACCCGTGAAGATAGAATTAGTTAGAGTTGGTCTTCAGCAACTAATGCTTGTAATAAGCGACAAACGGGATCGGGTTGTCAGCGTGTCATAGTATCCCAAATGCCTAGATTGATGCTCGCACTGTTGATCACGGGATTGTCTGGTCCAGACTCGATTATTTACAGACCGCCGCCATATAGCTGGAATATTGCTGAATGCGGCGTAAAGCTAAACTCACTCACTCACTGAAAGTGATTTTGAACAAACTTGCATTTTCAAATTTTCAGAATACTTGTCAAGATGAAACACATCGTTATTCTGGTTACACGCTGATTACTAGTATGACAAGGGTATTGGTTATAGGGGCGGTGGGGTAGCCTAGTGGTTAAAGCGTCCGCTCGTCACGCCGAAGACCCGGGTTCGATTCCCCACATGGGCACAATGTGTTAAGCCCATTTCTGGTGTCCCCCGCCGTGATATTGCTGGAATATTGCTAAAAGCGGCGTAAAACTAAACTCAGTCAGTCAGTCAGTATTGGTTATAGACCATGATTCGTGATAACCTAGACCTGTGAAGATAGAATTAGTTAGAGTTGGTCTTCAGCAACTAATGCTTGTAATAAGCGACAAACGGGATCGGGGGGTCAGCGTGTCATAGTTTCCCAAATGCCTAGATTGATGCTCGCACTGTTGATCACCGGATTGTCTGGTCCAGACTCGATTATTTACAGACCGCCTCCATATAGCTGGAATATTGCTGAGTGCGGCGTAAAACAACAAACCAAACCAAACCTTTGAATATGAATCATGTCACAAAATGTTTGTTAAGTACTTACTAAAAATAAATTTGTTTACAAAAGAACCGGCTACAGTAACATCGAAATGTTTTTTAAAAGTAAAAGTTTTTTCTACAGCTAACCACACGTTTTATAAGCACTACAGTCTGTAGGTACATTTAGATCAGATATACATGGTGCTTATGCACTGGCTGCGTTGGTCATTCTCCCTGGAGGGAAATATTTCTTTAAATCGGACCAATGAAAACAAACCCTGACGTCACGGTAGTAGGAAGAATATTCCCCCCACGTAAGAAGGACAATCCGTGCAGCACATTCCGGACGTGTTTTTATCCCAGCGTGTTAAAGTACGCTGCGAAGGGATATATTTTGTCAGTTAATCTTGTAGTACTCGGCTTGAGTCAAGTTTACCACACAAAGAAATCGCCTATAGTTTCTTAGTTAATTTAATCTTCCATTCATTGAGAACTCGGAAGTTGACCAAATTCTCTATAAAGAAGATAAGCTGTTAGATAAAAAAGACAAAGACTTCAAGATGTACATTTAAAGTTGTAACAAGCGTAAAGCCTTTAAGTCGGTTTACTGTAGACGTGAGATTTCGTATACCTACTGGACAAGTGTTTGCTTATAAAGGATGTGTTTAAGATTTCGAGTCATTTGCGTATCAAGCTGCTTGGTGAAGAAGTCATTATATCAATATGTCTGTCACAACATCTGCCCTTCTGTTCGGGTTGTGCTTGGCACAGATGGCCACAGCTCTTTGGCCAGTGTTTCCGACAAATGGCGAAAATCCACGAGATACCACTACGAACCCTCGGGAGCCGGATTTAAACTTTCAAACGGCGGGGACAACAGAGGTGTGCTCGTGTTTGGAGGAAATTTCACATCTCGAAAAACAACTAAGACTTACTCATGGAAGACTTGAGAGTTTTCAACACAGAATGGACGAGTTGTCGGCGGAGTTGTACAACATGCAGAACGGAATGAGAGCATTGAGAAACGGGCGTTAGTATTTGTCACTGACATCATTTTGGAGGCGTTTATGTGTTTGGCCAGAGATATTCAGTGTTCGGGAATATGTTTAACCATTCAAGTTCGCATGGATCCTAAATTTGTACCTTCAACAGTGTTTTGGCACTTCATCTGTGTTTCATGACGTATACCTACAAACCTCATGATGGCGATTGTTTAGTTAATATAACCACGTTATACTGGCACCGTTTGAAATAAAAGCGACAAAACCATTTCAAAATCGTAAAATATATCTGCTAAGAACGCGAATCTATTCAAAATGTATCAGTCGTTTTGCTAGTGCATATTGTCTTGTCATTTAGAGATATTGTCTGATCCATTTTCTGATATTTACGTATTCACTTTTCATATGGTCCGATCCACTTTCTGATATTTATTGACCCCCTTTCTGATATTGTCTGATCCATTTTCTGATATTGTCTGATCCATTTTCTGGTATTGCCTGATCCACTTTTCATATGGTCCGATCCACTTTCTGATATTTATTTACCCCCTTTCTGATGTTTGATCTATGTTCTGATATTGTCTGATCCATTTTTGATATTTCCTGATCCATTTTCTGATATTTCCTTATCCATTTTCTGATATTTCCTTATCCATTTTCTGATATTTCCTGATCCATTTTCTCTGATATTTGACTGATCCATTTTCTGATATTTTCTGATCCACTTTCTGATATTTTCTGATCTATATGCTAATATGGTCTCACGGATTTCAATATTCTCTGATTCAGTTTCTAATATTTAAATGATTCCTGTTCTGGTACTGACTGATCATTCCCTGACAATACATGGGCTAGTTATGATGCCACAAATGTATTCTAGTATATATTAGCACCATTATAACATTAGCATAGATATTCCAGGTTTGATACTTGCTATAAGGATTTTCTGATATTTTCTGATCCACCTTCTGATATTATCTGATCCATTTTCGGATATGGTCGGACCGATATTTATATTTTCTGATTCCTTTTCTGTTACTGTCTGTTCCATTTTCTGATATTGTCTGAAAATACCTATGCTCGCTACGATGCAATGAATGTACACACATAGCAGTATTTTACTATTATTTCTATAGATATTCCTGGCTTGATACTTGCTGTAATGCCCTATTATGTTCTTTTGTTTTCAGTCCGGCCAGCTCTTGGACAATCACAGGATATTTCTTTCTCGGCACGCGTTGGTACTAACAGACCATACCTCAAGGACGTCGACACTATTATCTTCGACGACATCGTCATCAACAATGCTGGTGCATACGACCCCTACACCGGCAAGTTCACATCACCTGCCGTTGGCGTCTACCATTTCAGCGCCACCATCCTCAGCGGCTACAACACCACCATCGAAACAATGTTTTTGGTCAACGGGGAAGAAATGGGACGGTTGTATTCGGGCTCTTTCAACAACCGAGGTTCAGGAACAAACTCTATTCTTGTGAACTTGAAACAAGGTGATGAGGTTTCAATGAATTTGTTTTACGGCAACGGTGATTATGTTCATGGGCAATGGAGCACTTTTTCTGGATATGCTGTAACACTTTTTGGCTAGAAGGCATGAAGATTTGGCATTAAAAACATCGTGGTAAACAATTGACTGATAATGCCGTGAACTGAAACGTTTCGTGCTAAACAAGTTCATGGCCTTCTGAACAATCTCATCGCACAAACGCAACCTTCGTGTCAAATTTGGTATCATCGAAACAAATACTGATGATTAATCATTTAGGCTGGCAGAAAAGATCGATAATCGGAAATATCGTCGATAGGAAAACTTATTAATGACCATCGATATGAAAAAACTGTCAAATAATCACATAAACGTTTGTGATTGAATAAAGGTTTAATTTACTCAGAAAGTTAGGTTTTTATTCATGACTGCTTCTAAATTATGTTCAAGAGGCTGTTATGTTAGTAATACATGCCTAAACATGTCACCGCTCAGACGTTCATTTCTTCCAGACTTTTTGGGGCATACTTGCTCAAAGTTACTTCTCCGATATTTATCGATAATCGATCGATATTTAGTTAACGGTTATCGATCTTTATGAAATATATCAAGAGCCAGCCCTATATGCACTCTTCCCTCGATGAATCAGAAACAGTGTGTACTGAAAATGTATGCATAGTCCTGTGATAATCAATGAGCCATATCATATCATATCCATACTCATAAATCATATCTTGTACTTATTATATTGTATACTAATACAAATCACAATACAATATTAAACATAACGCGTTTGTTTGTTGTATTTGTGTGATTTTCGTAAATGGCATATATTTTTTAAAATACAAGCAACAAAACTGTTTCCATGTTCGTTGGAAACCCGTTCTAACATCCGAGTCGTGTGTACGATTCCGACTTTATCATAAGCATTAATTCTTATATGGTGATGCTAATCACTCTAAAAGGTTAGGGGGCGGTGGGGTAGCCTAGTGGTTAAAGCGTTGGCTCGTCACGCCGAAGACCTGGGTTTGAATCCCCACATGGGTACAATATGTGAAGCCCATTTCTGGTGTCCCCCGCCGTGATGTTGCTGGAATATTGCTAAAAGCGGCGTAAAACCAAACTCAGTCAGTCAGTCAGTCTAAATGTTAGCGTATCCTGCACCACAGGCGGTCCCCGTCACAAACACATGCAAAGGCAAGTCAGTTGTTCTACTAAAACACACGTGGGCATCTGATGCGTGTCCAAACAGAGAATTCCATCGGACATCATTTTGCCCGTGCTGTGTCAGATTATTAAATGCCCTCCACATGTTTACCACACAATGTTTTGAAGCTTTACTGAGGCCTTGTAATGAAATCTTGCTTTTATGAACAGATAGTGCATTCTGCCATACATACGCATAATTATCCCCCGCAACAACAACATAACGAAGTTGCTGGGGATATAGAAACGAGTTCCGCCCGTCAGTCACACTTTGTCCGAAGCATATCTCCTAAACTATTCTGAGAGCTTAACCAAACTTGGTACAAATGTCAACCATGATCCCTAGATGTGCCTTTTGGGGTTTAGACCCAGATATGAATTATATTTTTTGCGGTTTCCATGGAAACGTGACTTAGGCTGTGGCTATGAGGATGTCTTCTTGTTCGGAGCAGATCTCCTAAACTATATATTTATGCTAGCTTCATCAAACTTTGTACATACCGTCAAGCATGATCCATAGATGTGCCATTTGAAGGTTAGACCCAGATACGAATTTTATTTTTGTGGTTTCCGTGGAAACGTGACTTAGGCTGTGACTATGAGGATGTCATCTTGTTGCATTTCCATGGCAACACGTTAGGCTTCAACTGAATTTGGTGGTAGTGCTCCTTTCTGCCTTAAAACCTTTCAATACTCTCCCTCCACTTTGCTATGTACGCTCCAAAACATTTGACATCATAACTAGTAGACATATTCATAAAGAGTATTTTGCCGTTGCGGGGATATTGATGACCTTGTCTTCTTGTTTAAATTGTGATACACATATTCTTTACATGCATGCCTGGTTGACGATCGTTTTGACAGTACGTTAAAAAAAAATAAGGTACACTTTCAGATAAAAATGGGCAATTGAATGAACGAAGCTGCCCACTCTGTAATCAAAAGGATATTTGGGACGATGTTCTTTATCAACGAATGCATTATAGATATATATTTTACTCATTATCCAAATGTACTGAATTCAGTTCTTTTTCCTTTGGCCCATTAGTTAGTAAACTTAAAAGGTTAAGTTCCGTTCTCTCTTCTTCGACCCAAAACTTCGTAAACTTTAAATGTTAAGTTCTGCTCTCTCTACATAGGCTAAAAGTGAGTAAACTTTAATTTTTAAAATTAATTTTGCATTTATATTTTAAAACAATGTAATTATAGGCCCTTTCGATCGCGATACGTTCAAGATGACGATGGTTCTGTAACTATTGCATCAAATACCTACACTGTTACACACGATCGTACCTGTTGTTTGTGGTGTTTGATGACTACCTCATCCAGATTTGTTTTCAAAACGGACGATTAGTGTCTGGCTGAAGCTGGCATACGCTGCACGTTAGAAGATCTTTTATTAACACAGGATATGGATTGGTAAGAACAGGGGCGATTTTAAACCAACACTGCTCATCTCCATGCCCCGTTTGATCAAACACACTCAGTTGTTTGTTCCTTAATTGGGGTATTGAAAAAAAATATTAAAATAAAATATAATATGATATGATCAAAATATAATTCAAAAACAACGTGAACATTTAAAACCACATTTCTCTGTTCCAAAAGCGGTCTGATTCATTGTTTAAAAAATATTGCACCGTGAATACATTACGTCAAAGAGACCGTGAAACAAACGTGATTTTACTCAAATACATCAATTTGAAACAGCTGAATATGTTAACTCAACTGTATTTTTAAAATATATAAAAGCCCATAAACAATATAATAATCTAACCAAACTCAAATGAACATTTCTACTATGTTTGAGTTTCATATCGATTCGGTCTCATTCTGGGAAATGCATTTTAAAAAAGTAAAACCTCTATCTCAGAAAACTCAAACTTCAGTTGTAAGATGAATTCCTAATCGAAACAGAATAACTGCCAAACACTGACTATATAAAGATTTAATCAAAACTGGCATTGAGTGATTTTTAAAACAAATCAAATATTTCAAATATTAGCTACTGTAGTTCCAAAACCTAGCGTGAGACTTGATTCCATTATCTAAGTACATGCTGTGTTGTTTATGCCACGTATGTGATATACGCGATGGGATATTAAGTCTGGTCGACCTTCATCGCCTTCCATCATCCTGGCTGCAAAAAGAGGACTTTATACACACGTGACCTGTACATTCTACAAAGACGTCTATCTCCGTGCCCGGATTGTTTACTTGAGGTGTTTACCTGCTTATTGTGTGCGGTTTGCTTCGTGTGCTGGAAGTGTTAAAGTCAGCATTAACGTGTCATGAGTCAATACAGCCCCTCAAAACAAACGCCGGAATTGTCTCAGCGATGTTAAGTTAATTCCTGTCAAATAGGAGAGCCATGCAGTCAGAGGAAGTTGTAGTTATGAAAGAGGAGATATTTGTACAGATGTGATCTTGAACTTGTCAGTAATCTGTTGAAGATACCTTCGTCAAACTGCGACGGAGCATTTATGTTGTAAGACTCAGTGAACAGATGCTGAACATACTGTTGTCTGTCTTTTGATGGCATCTGACACCGTCTTCATACTGCAACACCTACGACACATTAGCATAGATATTCCAGGTTTGATGCTTGCTGTAAGGATTTTCTGATATTTTCTGATCCACCTTCTGATATTATCTGATCCATTTTCGGATATGGTCGGACCGATATTTATATTTTCTGATTCCTTTTCTGTTCCATTTTCTAATATTGTCTGAAAATACTTATGCTCGCTGCGATGCAATAAATGTACACACATAGCAGTATTTTACTATTATTTCTATAGATATTCCTGGCTTGATACTTGCTGTAATGCCCTATTATGTTCTTTTGCTTTCAGTCCGGCCAGCTCTTGGACAATCACAGGACATTTCTTTCTCGGCACGCGTTGGTACTAACAGACCATACCTCAAGGACGTCGACACTATCATCTTCGACGACATCGTCATCAACAATGCTGGTGCATACGACCCCTACACCGGCAAGTTCACATCACCTGCCGTTGGCGTCTACCACTTCAGCGCCACCATCCTCAGCGGCTACAACACCACCATCGAAACAATGTTTTTGGTCAACGGGGAAGAAATGGGACGGTTGTATTCGGGCTCATTCAACAACCGAGGTTCAGGAACAAACTCTATTCTTGTGAACTTGAAACAAGGTGATGAGGTTTCAATGAATTTGTTTTACGGCAACGGTGATTATGTTCATGGGCAATGGAGCACTTTTTCTGGATATGCTGTAACACTTTTTGGCTAGAAGGCATGAAGATTTGGCATTAAAAACATCGTGGTAAACAATTGACTGATAATGCCGTGAACTGAAACGTTTCGTGCTAAACAAGTTCATGGCCTTCTGAACAATCTCATCGCACAAACGCAACCTTCGTGTCAAATTTGGTATCATCGAAACAAATACTGATGATTAATCATTTAGGCGGGCAGAAAAGATCGATAATCGGAAATATCGTCGATAGGAAAACTTACTAATGACCATCGATATGAAAAAACCTCTCAAATAATCACATAAATGTTTGTGATTGAATAAAGGTTTAATTTACTCAGAAAGTTAGGTTTTTATTCATGACTGCTTCTAAATTATGTTCAAGAGGCTGTAATGTTAGTAATACATGCCTAAACATGTCACCGCTCAGACGTTCATTTCTTCCAGACTTTTTGGGGCATACTTGCTCAAAGTTACTTTTCCGATATTTATCGATAATCGATCGATATTTAGTTAACGGTTATCGATCTTTATGAAATATATCAAGAGCCAGCCCTATATGCACTCTTCCCTCGATGAATCAGAAACAGTGTGTACTGAAAATGTATGCATAGTCCTGTGATAATCAATGAGCCATATCATATCATATCCATACTCATAAATCATATCTTGTACTTATTATATTGTATACTAATACAAATCACAATACAATATTAAACATAACGCGTTTGTTTGTTGTATTTGTGTGATTTTCGTAAATGGCATATATTTTTTAAAATACAAGCAACAAAACTGTTTCCATGTTCGTTGGAAACCCGTTCTATCCGAGTCGTGTGTACGATTCCGACTTTATCATAAGCATTAATTCTTATATGGTGATGCTAATCACTCTAAAAGGTTAGGGGGCGGTGGGTAGCCTAGTGGTTAAAGCGTTGGCTCGTCACGCCGAAGACCTGGGTTCGAATCCCCACATGGGTACAATATGTGAAGCCCATTTCTGGTGTCCCCCGCCGTGATGTTGCTGGAATATTGCTAAAAGCGGCGTAAAACCAAACTCAGTCAGTCAGTCAGTCTAAATGTTAGCGTATCCTGCACCACAGGCGGTCCCCGTCACAAACACATGCAAAGGCAAGTCAGTTGTTCTACTAAAACACACGTGGGCATCTGGTGCGTGTCCAAACAGAAGAATTCCATCGGACATCATTTTGCCCATGCTGTGTCAGATTATTAAATGCCCTCCACATGTTTACCACACAATGTTTTGAAGCTTTACTGAGGCCTTGTAATGAAATCTTGCTCTTTATGAACAGATAGTGCATTCTGCCACACATACGCATAATTATCTCCCGCAACTTCGTTCCGTCCGTCCGTGCGTCCGCCACACTTTGTCCGAAGCATATCTCCTAAACTATTCGTGAGAGCTTAACCAAACTTGGTACACATGTCAACCATGATCCCTAGATGTGCCTTTTGGGGTTGAGACCCAGATATGAATTATATTTTTTGCGGTTTCCATGGAAACGTGACTTAGGCTGTGGCTATGAGGATGTCTTCTTGTTCGGAGCAGATCTCCTAAACTATATATTTATGCTAGCTTCATCAAACTTTGTACATACTTCAAGCATGATCCATAGATGTGCCATTTGAAGGTTAGACCCAGATACGAATTTTATTTTCTGTGGTTTTCGTGGAAACGTGACTTAGGCTGTGACTATGAGGATGTCATCTTGTTGCATTTCCATGGCAACAAGTTAGGCTTCAACTGAATTTGGTGGTAGTGCTCCTTTCTGCCTTAAAAACCTTTCAATACTCTCCCTCCACTTTGCTATGTACGCTCCAAAACATTTGACATCATAACTAGTAGACATATTCATAAAGAGTATTTTGCCGTTGCGGAGGATATTGATGACTTTGTCTTCTTGTTTAAATTGTGATACACATATTCTTTACATGCATGCCTGGTTGACGATCGTTTTTGACAGTACGTTAAAAATAAGGTACACTTTCAGATAAAAATGGGCAATTGAATGAACGAAGCTGCCCACTCTGTAATCAAAGGGATATTTGGGACGATGTTCTTTATCAACGAATGCATTATAGATATATATTTTACTCATTATCCAAATGTACTGAATTCAGTTCTTTTTCCTTTGGCCCATTAGTTAGTAAACTTAAAAGGTTAAGTTCCGTTCTCTCTTCTTCGACCCAAACTTCGTAAACTTTAAATGTTAAGTTCTGCTCTCTCTACATAGGCTAAAAGTGAGTAAACTTAATTTTTAAAATTAATTTTGCATTTATATTTTAAAACAATGTAATTATAGGCCCTTTCGATCGCGATACGTTCAAGATGACGATGGCTCTGTAACTATTGCATCAAATACCTACACTGTTACACACGATCGTACCTGTTGTTTGTGGTGTTTGATGACTACCTCATCCAGATTTGTTTCTCAAAACGGACGATTAGTGTCTGGCTGAAGCTGGCATACGCTGCACGTTAGAAGATCTTTTATTAACACAGGATATGGATTGGTAAGAACAGGGGCGATTTTAAACCAACACTGCTCATCTCCATGCCCCGTTTGATCAAACACACTCAGTTGTTTGTTCCTAATTGGGGTATTGAAAAAAAAAATTAAAATAAAATATAATATGATATGATCAAAATATAATTCAAAACAACGTGAACACTTAAAACCACATTTCTCTGTTTCGGTCTGATTCATTGTTTAAAAATATTGCACCGTGAATACATCTCAGATACGTCAAAGATCAGTTGTAAGATGAATTTCTAGTCGAAACAGAATAAATGCCAAACACTGACTATATAAAGATTTAATCAAAAACTGGCATTGAGTGATTTTTAAAACAAATCAAATGTTTCAAATATTAGCTACAGTTCCAAAACCTAGCGTGAGACTTGATTCCATTATCTAAGTACATGCTGTGTTGTTTATGCCACGTATGTGATATACGCGATGGGATATTAAGCCTGGTCGACCTTCATCGCCTTCCATCATCCTGGCTAAAGAGGACTTTATACACACGTGACCTGTACATTCTACAAAAGACGTCTATCTCCGTGCCCGGGATTGTTTACTTGAGGTGTTTACCTGCTTATTGTGTGCGGTTTGCTTCGTGTGCTGGAAGTGTTAAAGTCAGCATTAACGTGTCATGAGTCAATACAGCCCCTCAAAACAAACGCCGGAATTGTCTCAGCGATGTTAAGTTAATTCCTGTCAAATAGGAGAGCCATGCAGTCAGAGGAAGTTGTAGTTATGAAAGAGGAGATATTTGTACAGATGTGATCTTGAACTTGTCAGTAATCTGTTGAAGAATGGTTGTGATACCTTCGTCAAACTGCGACGGAACATTTGTGTTGTAAGACTCAGTGAACAGATGCTGAACATACTGTTGTCTGTCTTTTGATGGCATCTGACACCGTCTTCATACTGCAACACCTACGACAGGGTCTTTGTGTTGTAAACACTGCGAGTCTGAGACGCTGTACATACTGGTCTCTTGTCGATAATTCGACACGGTGTTGTCAGACCAATGTACACGCTGATGCATGCCGATATCTTGTCTTTTGATGGCTTCTGACACCATCGTCATACTGCAACACCTCGATACTGCAACAGGGCGAATCAGGGATGCTTATCTCTTGTCTCTACTAGTGTTGGGAATTGGTTAAAATCTAATAATTGATGATTGGTCCATTACAACCGATCAATCATCGAAAATAATTGGTTAGCGTCATTTATCAAATGTTCCTGTTATTTTTGTTAATGCACAAAAAAATAAAGAAAAAACATGTAGTAATTTGGTTTTTTTTGCAAATTGCATAAAGTCCATTTGCAAATTTTGCATATTTAAATGATGATTAGTATGTTAGGAACACATATTTCCTGGATTCTTTAAGATAAATTCAATCATGACTTGGAACGAGCTTGTACATGTAGTGCTTATGAAATGTACATTTAATGACACAGACAAAACCAACCTTGTGAAAAATATTGTTAATGCAAACAAGTGTTCCAAGATTGGTCGTGTTCGATTATGAGAAAACGTGTTCGATTGCTTGGTCGTTTAGTCACTGCGACCAATCTTCGATTATTTCAATTAATCGGACCACCACTAGTCTCTTCAACACAGTGTTGTCAGAGACTGTTAAATTATAAGGGGATTGGGTGGACAGGCTCGACTTGGTTGATGCATGTCATCGTACCCTACATTTTGTAGATGATGCCAATGACGTCAATAATCACAGGATTGTCTGAATGTCCAGACTGGAATGGAATATTGCCGAACGTGGCGTTAAACAATAAACATATGAAACGAAGCCACGCAGCGGTCGTAGCTACGATGCTCGTAAGTCTATGTCAACGTATAGTGGCGGGGCTTGATTACAAGCTGCTGAGCTTGCTCAGATTTGTTTGAAATCCTTGAACCTTTCATTATGCACCAATTTACTGTACTGCTTAAAAGCATGACCATCAAGCCATGTCGATAATTTATTGGTATTTGTTAACACATGTTCATTAGAAAAACACCTTGTCGAACTATGAACAGGTGTAAGTGATTCAGGTGTTAAACGAGTAAGCACGTGGACTACATTTGTACCGTTGTTCAATAGCACCTACATTTTAAATAAATTATATCATACATGCAAATTATATTTGATACCTACAATGGTAGAAATACTAAAAGACATGGACACTAATTCTCAGTGGCCCGTCGAAAAAAAGAACTTATGTAACATGATAACAAAGTCGTTTTATATCAAAGTATATTTATTAAATTATAAAATCATTATAATCAACACAACACACGTCTAGATTAAGAGACAGGCGTTCCTATGCAACTCTCAAAAAATAATACAAAAAACTCATAGACCATAGCGTGGAGACCACTCACGCGATCTAGTTCCTTTGCCCTGCAAGGAAATGTCACATTGTTCGTGAAAACCACAGTTTATTTTGCAAAGGTTTCAAGGATCCTTCTCGTTGAGGATAAACCCTGAAAACGTGCTGTAGAAGCCGTGGACGTGAGTGCCCCCTTGATACAAGAGCCTTATCCACACGCTGTCGCCACTGCGTAGGTTTACAACGGCCGCGTTACTGCCTGATCCATGCGCGTCATGCGCACCTGAGTACATCCGGGATACTTCTTTGTCGTTGACTATGACCGCTGTTTCCACTTTAGTGTTGTAGCCGGACAAGACCGTAGCAAAGAAATAGTACGTCCCGGAGAGGGGCGCTGTGAATTTACCAGTTTCAGAGTTGTAGCCTTCTCCGTTGTTGGTGATGGCAGTGTCGAAGATGACGGTGTCGAGAGGTTGTAGCTCTCGGTTGTAGCTCAGCTTGGCAGTAAAGGCGATAGCTGGTGGGTCTCTCTGAGCGGACAAAGCAGTAGCCCTGGCAACTGAAATATAAAATGTTGTTATATTGAAATGGTAACATTGACGTTGGTATTCTCATATCCTTACCAGTTCCATGACACAAGGAGTAGTTTGGTAGCCAAGTGGTTAAAGAGTTCGCTCATCTTGCCAAATCCCTGGTTCTATTCCCTCATGGATACAATATGTGAAGCCGATCTCTGGTGTCCCGAACCGTGATATTACTGGAATTTTGCTTAAAGCTGTGTAAATATCGACTCACTCACTCCATGACACAAATTCCCTTATACAACAGTATGAATATTTATTGAGTCCTGAAGCGTTCTAAACCTTCTAATCGGATGGACATAGCATTATCTACAGAAGGATAAGAATACCAATATACAAGGAACAGTTTCTGCAGGTGTCAACAAATCCCTAATCTTCTTATACACAAAGTACGGATGATAGTTCCGTCTTTTGTACAATGTTTATTTGTGCTTTACTCGATTCACGCTTGTTAGTACATCAATCAAATTGCATGATGTAAGAGTGTTGCCTTGAAAAATCAGGAGCAGTGGGAAATAGCAGACATTGATAATCCTGTATGTATCTTACACGCTGTTTTAAGAGGTGCTTAGTATTGAACAGGACTTTATAGTCCATTCCATCTCATCGTTCTTTGTGTAGACAGTTTCATCAAATAGAGTAAAACAATTACTAAATCATTCATAGTTAAATTTTTCAAGAAGAATTCTGTAGGAAATTTCATGTTATGCTTCATACATGAGTTTGGCTGTAACACATAGAGCTACAGATACCTTTTGGGGTCATTGATTTATGTACTCGCTTGTGTTCATCTCAATTGGGTATCCTAATTTTCCTTTGAGTAACCACATAAACTGTACCCACCTCACTCAAACTCAATTGGGTATTTTGCCATTTGCCATTTATTTTTAAAACATAATAAAGTTTAAATGGTATTTACATTGGATCTTTAATATGAGATACGATAAGAAGTTGTAAGTTGCCAAGTTCAAGTGTTGAAGTAGAACCACTCAATTTACCTCAGTTATTTTATCTATGCACCCACGTTTTGTGTTCAAGTGTTGAAGTGAGAACCACGTAATTTACGCAATATTACCTTGAACATTATGTCAGTTATATTGTGGTGTGTCAGCCCCGTGGAGGTGAGAAACATTAACTGATGCAAAACTCAACTGCGGTCAAACTAAAAATAAAAGGCCAATTTTCACCATGTTGCAGGGTCAATGGTTTGTTGATAAGAAATACTAATGATGGATTTATTGTCAACTAGCTCTTTTTCTCCCGTTTTCTATTACTATTCAAAGAAATGCTTCAACCGCTGCCTGGAGCAATAATCGCATTGTCGGAATATTTGTTTTGATTAGTTTTTACATACCCTTGAAATTAAACTCATAAATTCATAAATTCATAGTACATATTTTGTCCGTATTTAGCATATTGATCTGCACGTATTATTTCCATGCATAATTATGACGTCCGATGCAATTTCCTGTTTTGTCTGGTAACCTATATCCACCTGTTTAATATGAACAACTGACTTGCTTTGCGTGTGTTTATACCATCGGTAGAGCAATGTACTTACGTTTAATCGTTCAGCTGAAATGTTTTTCGTTGTATTTTCGTGTGCACCACCTTAGGCAACTGACCAAGTGATCTATGCTTTTTCGAAACTCGTATCTTAGTCTATTCAAAACTATGAGAGACATTTACGCAATCTATGCCACAGGGACATATATGTCCTTGCCCCTTCAACAACCCTCAATTTCAAGTCCAATAAAAATCAAAATATCCCACGCACACAAATACACTTCACAGTTTCGAATTCTTCGGGAAATTTCCTGTTTCTTGATACCATCCACTATTATTTTAGACAAAGTTCAAGTGCTGAAAATGACCTTTCAAAATAGGCTTCATCGAAAATGTCGCCATTTTTGACACAGTACGAAATCGCGATTCACAGCGTTATTTGCTGTATGTTTTGAAATGTGAAAACCGGATAATTACTGGGAGTATTGAATTTCAAAAATAACATATTCATGATCACTCATATCAGTTTTACATGAAATCGCTAAGTAAAATTCTGAAACGTTGCCGATGAATCTAGAATCGGTTGGGATGTTTTCGAAAATGCACTTACACGAACGCCGTAGAGCGCTTTCCGCCATATTGGGATAGTGTTTACAAAATCACGTTTCGCGAAGGCCGGTATTGAGACGCATATTACATCACGTATATTTCATATTCAGCTTCGAAAAATGCATCAATAAACTCCCCATACATTTTAGACTCAAACTGCAAGTGGTCTTTGTCACCAATGCCAACTGTCTAGATAAAATGAGACGAAACATATTTGGTGTGAAAACGAACGCTGTGCTCGAAAGACTGCGCTGGTTCGAAATGTAAACAAAGACAAAAACCTATTTTACACTGTGTAGCATTTTCTGAAATTTTCCAACATTCATCCGTCTATTCATTGCTTGCAATGGCTCAATACCTTTGGAATATGCATGGAAAGAGTATCGTAGCAAGAAATAGGAAATTATAAATAGATACAATGCAATGATTTGATAATTCATAAGAAATTGTCAAAGTTTCCGTGCAGCGTGACGCCATGACTGACGGAAAATCACGCAGAACGACAACGGTAATTATCTGGATTTCTGTCTTTTTCTCTTACTTTTAGTGAAAACGATAAAAACATATAACAATACACAGATAGTCAGAATCATTCTGATTACTTACATCTCATATTTATGGACAAACGATCCCTGAATCAATGGAAGGGTCCTCGCAAAATCCTGTGTACCCTTGTCAGCAAAGCCGCCATTTTGTAAGAAATCGGTCAGCGGTAGTGATGTCATACGTCAACATTGTTGTACATATTAGGCAATTTCTTTGAGGTGAAGGTCGGTTGAACAAGAGTAAACACAATCGCCCAATCCTTCCGATTACACTGTCAGTATTATGGTGTATATTTTGCGTATAGTTCAGATACTTTTTCATGAAACTGACTTCAGTATCCACATTTAGCCTTGTTCAATATCATATCATACGTGCGTATAGGGTTTACGGTGTTTTATTCTTTGAAAGTTTTGATTGTTTGAATCATATTTACATAGGAAATTGACATATTTAGTGCAATACACCATATTCTAAACCTTTACACAAGTGTTAGAAGATCAAACGTAGCCATAACTGCAATTGCGTTAGTTCCGATGATGTACAATATTCAATGCATTTGGACTAATATTGCAGTTTCACATGAACAGGTTAATGAACGGCGATTTAATTCAACCTTATAAGTAAAACTGATAATATTAATGAAAATGATTTATATATGGTATGAAATGTATATGCACACATATTTAAAGGAATTGTCTTGTTTTTTGCACATTTGTGTGTCGGTTTATAGAGAAAACAATGATGTAAATTGATTGGCCAGGTGCGCGTTTGTCGGAAACGTTTTATGATTCACTATCATTGTTTTCGATAATATAATCAATTCATATTCGATTTAAAAAATATTGTGATGACAGGATATCAAACTCTAACTATATTTATACGAAAATTGTTTAAAAATATATAAACCATGTCATGTCTTAATTTGGACAAATCTTACATCCATATTCTAATATATAGTACGTACTAGTTCCATATATAAAAAGCTATCTTTTTGCATCTTCCATTGCATACTTATGAAGAGAAATAGCTACATAATCATAAACAAAGAAAATTCTTATCCTAAACAAAATATTCGGGTGTTGTGAAATGTTATTTTTCATTTACGTTAAATTGATGCCAAACAGGTGCGCGTGTTTCTCACAAAAAGATACACAGTCAAACTGTCTAATTGTTGATATATTCAGGACACTATTTAAATGGAAAAATCAGTCATTTTATGTTTTGTCTAAAGAGTCTTAAATTCTGACATAGAAGCCGAGACCTTTCACACAATTAAAGGAAATTAGGTGAGATATGTACTAAACAGCATACCAGTGTCGTCTTTTTCCGACGTCGCAAAATGCATAAAACAAGCAATGACGTCAACTAAAATGGTGTATTATTTTCAGCAATTTCATTACATTTGAAGATATGGCTAGTACTCTGGTAATAACGATGCAAAATTAGTCAAAATACATCTACACAAACAGGACAATATGGGAATCTAAGAACTAACTTATATATCGGATAGGGCCATCCAAATCGCTATTACGTGCTTTCACATGTAATACGTTGTCATTTTTCTTGTAAATTGTGAAACTACCAAACTGCATCCGCTCACATTGGGGAACTTTGAATTGGGATAGTTTGGTTCACCATGAACATAAAATAACGAAAATATAGCGTCCGTATCCACAACAAATTCTCTCCAAGTGATCTGAGTTACATGGACCTAGTGTTACGCATAACGGAGTTATGCCCCTTATCATTATATGTGTATGACCTCTCTGTCGTCGTTTGACGTCATAGAAGAAAATCCATTTTGACATTTATTGCGAGTCATTTTAATGTTGAGCGTATAACGTTATGCACAAGCACATAAACCCAATTCATATACACTTATGTCGTTCAGATATCAAGCTGTATTTTCTTCGCTAACACTTTCCGTAAAGATGCCACATTAAAAAATTCGTAGCACAGTGCTTTTATCGGTGCGCGATAAAAGCGGATAAAATTACTGTTTTTTAACGCATAAAAAAAATTGGACAACATTTAGCAGTGTCTATTTCTCAAACCGCCGAGGTAGTTGCACTTATATTTATACCAACGGATAGGAAATTTAATATTCTACATTTCTGTGTAATTTTATAGCCGTACGTAGATCCAGGACCACGCGAGCGCAATTCTCGCACAACGATCACTTTTCAAACCGTATGAAAATGTGCGCCTGAAAAAAAAACTCGGCAGCCATCGCGTCCACCCCTATTCTACTCAAAGACCCTCATCAAAAGGGCTTAGTAGTTAAAGCGTGATACCGGATGAAGACCCGGGTTCTATTCTCCACATGGGTACATTGTGTAAAGCCCATTTCTTGCTTCCCCACCGTGATATTGCTGGAATAGTGCTAGAAGAGGTGTACAGCCTTCTCACTCACTATTCAAAGAGTGAATAGAACAGGTTGAATAAGGCTGAATAAACGCTTACCTTTGGTTGCATTTTTGAGAGAACTGACTAAAGCTCTGAGTTCGTAAAGTTCTGATACGTAGGTCTCCAAAGCACCCTTGAGTTCCTGCCGCTGATGAACTTCCTGGAGGATTTCCCTCTTGAGTGCGGTGATATCGGAGGCACAGGAACAGTTATTGGACCCAGCCGCCCAGGCGTTATACCTTGTGGGGATGGCTGCAACCTTTTCAGCCTTATGCGCAGATGATACACAAACTATAATGCTTACGAGCACTAACGTCGTTTCACGAATCATTTTGATAGAGGAGTTCGGCAGAGTGGTGTTCTGAGTCCGTGCCTGTCTTTTATACCTGCGTGCAATACAACCCTCCTCACGCCGCCCATGCCTGTCTTTTTGAGTCAATATAAAACGTTGAGACAACAAACATGCCCCGCAAGCCAAGTAAGGGAGGATCACTTTGCCTGCCAACACAATAGCCTCAACAAATATCAAGTTCTTCTTCTTCAATTTGTCAAATATTTGTGTTCTAGCTTCTTCCCTAACGCCCCGTGCTTCTAACATTGACTGGCTTCTGGATGTGTACCTCTCAACATAGACACCCATTCAAGACAGGATTATGATAATTCTAAGTGATAAGCGAAGTCAAATTCTTTTGGAAACCCTAACAGTATCAGGGCCAAACAGGAAGCGATTCAAAATATGAAATTCCTGTTTGGTCTGGGACAATGGTCTTTTCCCCCGAAAACAAACCTTAAGTGTTTGGGTGCAAAACAACTCAGCACGCCCAACTCTTGACGTTCAACACCTCATAACATGACAACGCACCTTTAAGTTGTATTTCATTGCCATGTTACACCAAGGAAACGTTTTTTAGCTTATGTCTCACATCGCTTTGACAGAAGCAAACAACGTCAGTTTGCTATGGGTTTAAGATAGGCGACTGTGACATACATGAAAAATCATTTCTGAATTACCTCATTTCCTAACCATTTCATCTTTTTTTCCATAACGCCAAAGAAAGTGCTTGTAATTCAACATGTCAAGACAGAAGCATTTTCACAATATTAAATATATGCTTAAAACATCAAATCCAAATAATGCTCATTTATTTAAAAAAGAACATATTCCACTGGGCGTAATCGGCATCACTGAAAATCAGCGATGACGCCAGATGTTCGCAAAAAGGTTACGCATGCCATGTGGTAAAGGTACGCATGTCCTTCCCTACATGTTACACTGACCACTGACATAATTTGCATGAAATAGAGTTTGTTGCTTCACATTAGTGAGTGAGTGAGTTTAGTTTTACGCCGCACTCAGCAACATTCAAGCTATATGGCGTCGGTCTGTAAATAATCGAGTCTGGACTAGACAATCCAGTGATCAACAGCATGAGCATCGATCTGCGCAATTGGGAACCGATGACATGTGGGAACCAAGCCAGCGAGCCTGACCACCCGATCCCGTTAGTCGCCTCTTACGACAAGCATGGTTACTGAAGGTTCATTCTATCCCGGACCTTCACGGGTAGCTTCACATTAGACGTGTATGCGAAAACATCATTCAAATGTGAGATTCCGACTACAGCACTATCATGTGTTTCCTGAGATCGTCATAAGGTCTGTAGCGTATTAACGTATGCTGAGTCAACTGCAAACGAAATGTTTGGTTCGTGACATTAAAACTGACCCCAATCTATGTTCCATATGTTTTTCTGTACTGATGAGCCTCGGTATTTCTGTTCTTCTAAAGTCGTAATTTTAAATTATCTAACTGGATTTTCCGATATAATCGATCACTTGATTGTCTGGTTTGTGAATGGCGATTGGTACCGGTAGGGCAGGACAAGCTTGATAGTATCATCTCTGATTTTCAATTATCCATGCATATTTTTCACAGGTATCTTTCCCTTTGCACCAAACGGAATTTGTTTATGAAGCTTTGAAGACTGGGTATTCTTGTGCACTGACGTGCTATAGAAAGGTAAACACTACATCTGAGAGCCTAACCTAAATGCAAGTTTCATAACATAATTAATGCCATAAAAATCTCATATGTTGTATTTCATTTCCCAACAATGAACAAAATATACTGTTTAGATAGAGCTACACAAAACAAATAATGATTCAATTCAAGTCAGTTCAAAGTTCATTCCGTATAAATGCCACAGGCTCAAGTACAAGACTAAGTTGCTAAGTTAGTTAGGGTATTTACTTTATCACAACTTAATGCATTAAATATATAAATAGAAGGATTTTTCCAGAAATATTCAGGAATATTCTTATGTCGAAAGTGGAATAAACTTTACATATTAACAGAATATTGATTGTACATCGATAAGTCAGGGAATGAGTCAGTAAACTTTTGAAATATTCTAGTATATAAGAAAAAGGAATTTACAATACTTTGCTGGGCTTTGAATAACTACGCCATTGATGTAACACCTCACATGTCACTGTGATTCCAACACCAGTGTTGTTATGACCTAGTTAACAGTTTGGTTTGGTGAGCACACATTTAAATATTTTGTAGGAAGGCGAATATAGTCAACACACGGTGTCCTTGTGTTGAACATAAAACACATTTAAACAAGCACCCTGATCTGTGAATGGCATTTAGAACTGACACACACAAGGAAGAGAATTTTATGGATGTCAACTTCTTTATAATGAGGAACACATCGTTTTGGAGTAAATACTTACTCCTTCATCAGGTGAACGAAGGCTTGGAATGTTTCCCTTGTTAAGCCTCCACTTTTGTTGTTCTTATATGTACATATTTAAGCTCTCAGCCTTATAGCATTCTTTCCCCTTGTGAAGGAGTAAGTATATACTCCGAAACCTTGTGTTTCTCATAATAAAGAAGTTATGTTGACATCCAACAAGTGACATTACCTTTCCTTTCGCAACTTTATCATTTAAAAAAATATTTAAACATTTTATTCATCCACCCCTGATACAAAACATTGACCTTCATGCCAGGGAAATGAAGGCCATTGACATAGAGGAAATCTTTTGATATGATATTTGATGTAATGAGTATTATACAGTTTACTTTGGTAAACATTTTATTCATCCACCCTCTTTAATATCCGATATCAGCGTCAGATTATATTTTTCGGTCTTAGACATGAAGAATATACAAAAGAATAGGACATTTTACCAATGCTGCTCTTCTGAAGAAAATAAACTATGATACAACATCCAAGACTGATGAAATGTATCAGCAGTACAATTGCTTCTGGAAATATCTTTTTCTATTTTATATCTGACAAACAATTCCTTGGAAAATCTTTTAAACTGTGGTTTGCATTTCTGATGTTTACATTTGTATATGATTTTTTTTGCAAACAACAGAATAAAGTAAAAAATTCTGTCTGTAACAATGTTTTCTTTTACACCAAACAATATCAGTTCTATACCAAGGTTCATGTTACATATATGGGAACATTTCATTATCCATGAGTGGAGGTCATTCCAAAATAACTGGTAAACTTACAATCCCACAACAAGTGGGTAATTGTTTCACTGTCAGTTTGGCAAAATGTACATAAATCATTCTCTGTGTACTTCAGTTTAAATAAATAAGTATTGGTTGTAAGAATTCTATGTATGATTCTATATTGAAACCAACGAAGTTTAACTTCTTGTGTTGTTCGAATCATTTTACAGTAGAGATTGTTCCAATTAATTTATTAAGTCAGCCCTTAACCCCTATGGGTTATTTCCCTTTATCATTTGATCACATGGGCATATCTGGATGTGACCAATTGAACATATCTGGATATATGATCTCCGTTATAGTAGAGACTGCTTCGAAAAATAGCAAATTGTTTTACAAAGCACCATTGACTTGTGAACTGAATTAGTGTTTAAACTGATATACTTTGTGTTGATCACAACTTTAGTGATCTGCAAAAGACTGATGAATTTTGGTCAGTGGCAACGCCAGTACCATTACACATACATTCAAACATCGTTGTGTCGAAGTGGAAACGAACCATGCAATTACTTCGAGTTATTCCAGTTGACAAAAGGTCAGTGTTACCCAATGTTACTCTTTATGTTTTACATTATTTCATCATCACTGCACACCAGTAATCATTTGTTTCCATGGACGCAAGACTAGTTTTCCATTGGTGTGTGTTAATATAACGACTCACAGTGAATGAGTTTGAATGGAAAGTCTCATTGGTATTTCCTCAGCCATACATAGACTGATAATGACTCTCAACGAGCGATGACAATGTAAACGTAGGCAGTCACATGTATTAAGAAATATCTCTTTAAGTGGTTTATATGAATGAATGAATGAATGAATAAATGGATGAATGAATTACTTATGGTTATCTTAATTAAATATTATACCAAAGGAATTAACAAAATAAAAAAAGGAAAAAGAAAAAACAAGCAAACTTGAAATCAGTATGCCAGTTCTATCTTCCTTGTAGTATATACATTGTGACAACAGTATACACAGAATTGTGTGCAAATCAGCACGTATATGCAATCAAGTATGAACTGTAAAATACTCAAGTAAATATTCACTTAAAAGATCATGCCCAAGCGAGAGGCAATGGGTATATTTGGCTGTACAGAATGTTGTAGCAATATTGCACCACTTGGTTTCAAACCACGAATCTTAGACACATAAAGTGTACTTTAATGCTGCAATGTAGAGACCTTCGCCATGTAGACAGCATATTTTCAGCCATGTTTGGTATGTTACTTTCCTCTGGTCACTGCAGTTGGGATATTTCAGTCTCTTTGCTAAGCATCTTTACTTTATTATAGACGTGCTGAGTTGCCAATTATCAACACATGTTATTTGTTTCCGGTATGCATTAGGGAAAGTATTTTGTTCAGGTATGCTGACATTTATCCCGTGACTTCTTCAAAAAGATGGTGATACATTCCGACAATATTTGAATATGCATGTTCCTTCAAGAACAGTATTGCAAAATCCTTAATACGATATTAGTTGAAGCTTCTAAATTCTTGAACTCGTTCAGGACAAATGACGTTACGATTATATATTCTTTCCAGATTTGCGTAATAGATTCGTTGTTTAAAGAAACGGTGCAGTGCTACGTGTGATCACATCTTGTGTGTTTGTTAAGAATAATAATTCTCAATTGTTGTACAGATGAAGTTGGGAGTCACGGTCGGGGATATCAATGAACCTTGTCCACGGGTCTTGGCTTGTAGACTTTATTTCTATTACCGCTGTTATTATATTTTAAACTATCATTGGGATTGATTTGCTATTGAATTTTTACTGCAACTTTGTTGTATTTCCACTTATATTGATTTGTAAACCTTGTAAGTATTATAATACAACTGCTAATTCTATGACATCCCTTTGCTGGTTTCACATTGTATTCGTTCGCGTA